ATATATATATATATATATATATGCATACCATAAACACCTTGTTGAACTCAAATTTTTTACAATGCATTTCATAATCATCGATCTGCGATAAACTCACCGAGCACTTGCAAAGCAAATAACATCAGCAGTTATAGCGCCACAAAAGCACCAGTAGCATAGATACAGCCATATCAAGCACACGTTTATTAGCGTGGTTTAGTTACAAAACGCTTACTCGGTCCATCATGGTGTACCTTCCACATTGTCGATATGAATAGCATCAAAATCGAAGGAAAAATCGAATCGTGCGAAAAATGAGAAGGGTCGTATGACGATTGCCATGTGACTGTTATGCCATGTCTGTCATAAATAGGACGTTAAAAAGCGCAAGGTACCGGCAAAGGCAGCAGCAGACAGTGTCATATCGATGATTGAGACTGACAAAATCCGTCGGTAAACGGAAAATTCAAGCGACAGGCAGTGACAATTGTAAAATACACTCAGACGGCAAAACATATCACTGTGAACGTGTTTGACCCAGTCAGTCAAAGACACTGCCCCACATAGGCCCGAGAGATGCTTTGCCTACGCCTTAACTTGATTGCGGAACTGCAAGTGAATTCCGGTGGCTTATCTAACGACACGTCGAGACAAGTTGAGATTTCCGGCGAAAGCATCAGCTTTCGACGGGTCGAAGGGCCTCCGGCACTGGATCCAGCAATCCTCCAGTGGCAATGGCCATACTCTGGGCCATGTTCCAGAGCCGCGACGTTCTCCTGCCCGACGCATACTCGCAGTCCACACCGCAATATCAAGGCGTAAGCAAGGCATCACTCAGCCTGACATGAAAGTTTTCTCACCCGACACGGTTAAACACCATCATGGTCGTGGTATGTCATTGTGTGAGTGGCTACTATGTTTTTGACGTTGTTGTTTTAATTTTCCGTCTGCTGACTGGGTCTGTCAGTGTCCACTGTCCACATGTCAACTTCGTCCTTTGAATTTGCCCATCTTTTGTGTTTTTAACGTCCTTCCTTAAAAACCTAGGCCCTAGGAAATAGGGAAGACACAAAGGTACTATGCAAAGCGTAACGAGTGTTCACTTCTTGACATCACATTATACCAACGGCCGTTAATGGAAGAATGTTGGCGAACTTATCATGACAAAAACGTTTTTTACGCCTTATGCACATCAGCCTCATCACGATTGTTGGTGACGCAGTTGAAGGATGACAGCTGTCAGCTCCCTCCGCAGCGCACAGACGAAAACAGCTGCATCCGTTTGACGTCATGGGATGACGTCATGACTTCGCTGAGGGCACACGCAGTGCATGTGTGGGCGGCGCTCGATCATGCCCACGGAGCGTTCGCAAATGGAAGGGCGCGTGGAGGCGAGAAATGTGAGACGCGGTGGGCACTAATGCCGCGTTCCCGCAAGCGTCACAAGCTCGGAACAGCGGACCTTAGACTACAGAAGGCGGCTGGCAAATCGTAACGCGGCCGTTGTCTTCGCCAAGGTAGCTGGTGAAGACAACAGAAAAAGAGGTCTGGTAGCGGGACAGTAAGGAAGCAAAATACAAATGGTAACATTAAATCAGAGCGCACAAAAAGAGGAATCAAGGGCAAAAATAGCAGTAGCAGTAAAAAGTGACACCAACGGCCTATGGTAACCGAAAAATACCGAAAACCCCAGAAGAATGAAGCGGAATGAGAACCACTGCATACGTAAACCTAGCAGGCTATAAAGTCGACAGCAGGCAATAAGCATGCCAACCTGCGCCAGTGCTTGAAGGTAGCTCTAAAACACCGGAAAGATAACTTATAAAGCTGAAGATACGGGTTGGAGGTGGACAATGCAGCGCAGCAGTTTGCTTTAAAATGTGATTGAAGGGAGTGTTCCGCATTTGCATGGGGGTTTGAATTGAAACAGCCATCTTGTAGATTATTTGGTGCTGTTCACATCACTGTCCTTCACTTCAACCGTTCTTATTCCTGAGCTACACGCCCGCAAAAATGCGCAGACTATTTCGGAACGGCTATTTCAAGGTGATCCATGCATCTGCGACACAATGATGACATCATTCAAATCTTGTCATTCCATTGGACATGCGGCGATCGAGGCCAAGAAAAAGATAATTGTCGTGTCGTTCATATCTGGCGTTCGTGAGCACGATTTACAGATATAAAGGCCATCAATTGGCTCTCAATCAATGCTGTTCAAGGTACGATGACGTCATTTAACAATGACGTTTTGAGGAGCATATTTACTAAACGAAGCAGATGTGTTGTCTAGAGAAGCATTTCTACTTAACAGTGCACCAACTGCTATAATTGACCCTATTTTATCATATCTAATGCTTGCTCCAAATCTGAATCATAAATGGATACCGATAGTTTTAAGTAACCTTATTTCATTCTATCTCAGGTTTGCTTCAAATCTGAATCTTGATCTGAAAAGATGGAAAATTACGTTCGAACTTTTCCACTTCCTTTTCCGTCTTTTCAGCTCTTGCTCTTTTGTGCGGTCCCAGGTTTCGCAGCATACGACTGTCCTGTGGGGAAAATAATTGCCTTCCTCGCGCGGACAGGAGGGAGATGCCTGGATGCACATACGACGCGACATTGGCGTTGCTTCTCTGTCAGAAGGTGCTGATAAGGTGCTGATAGGTGCTGATCATTTCGCCGATACTTTCCTCTGACTGGCACACACACTTTGCTGAGACTTTCCTTTGGCAGACAACCACCTCGCTGAGTCTTTTCTCTGGTTGACACCCATTTCGCGTAGACTTTCCTCTGGTTGACACCCACTTCGCTTAAACTTTCCTCTGGTTGAGTTTCTTCTTGACGGTGTGATGAGCTGTTCCATTGGTTATATTCCGCTAGTTTTCCACTCGTCCTGCAAGCATTGCCTATCTCTATGGTTGAAACCTGCCATTTTCTTGTTTGTATCTCTGATGCGGGTGTGGGGATTGGGCAGCCGACGCGGGCAACGTCTTGAGAGCTCGACCTCCCGCTGTATGAACGTTTACGTCAGTTCCGAACGGCGTTGTGCTTACGCTGAGGTCTGGTGGGTCGCGGCAGCGTTTTAAAATGTTTCATGGGGCTTTCTGAGCAGCACGTGCATCTTGATTGCCGCTTGGACGTCTTATCTTGGAGACCTATCTTGCGTGACCAACACATTCACCCATTTGGACGGGCCGTTACGCGGATGCGGGCTGAAGCGACGAAGCATAAAAATAGATACTGCGTGCTTTAAAATGGACAGGATCGTGAAAACTCATTCCATGAGGAGCTCTACTTTAATGTGCTATGTGAACGTTGAAGAAAGCATAGCCCCTGCCCAATGCAACTTAGTCTTGAGAAACTGTGCATATAATATATTAGTGATATAGAGCTATATCAAGTGATTTGAACATGAAGTATGGTGTCACCATTGCTTCAAATTATTACCCATGTCTCGATGTGATAACAAGCGCGTCTTAGGCGCTTAAGTAAATCCCATTCACAGTTGTTTCATGGCACACGAAAGGCTGTTAACTTCAGCACGACATGGACATTACAATCGTGCTTCGGCTGGCACTGCACACGCAATATTAAAGCTTGCGTGAAACGTGATATGACAGTTTATTGCTTTTGCGTGTCGCTGTCAGATATCTCCTTCAGTTTCCAAGCACGAGGGGCCGCGAGATGATCCCAGAATATCTAGTAAAGATAGAACAAAATATTAAATTTGTATTCTTTCAACAGGCTATTTTAAGAGCATAGCTGATGCAAGATATGATGCAAGTATAATCTGGAATTGCTTAGTAGATGGTGTGGTAAAGAGAGCTTGGAAAGAATGCTGTTTTTTAAACTGAGCCGCTGCGATGCAATTTTGGGTACGGCGTGCTGTGTCGTCCAATCTCGTTCAGCCTTGAACACAGTCATTGCATTACACTAACAACTATGCCATTAGAAGCAAATTTCAAGCCTGTAAAAGCTCAATACTGGCGCCTGGATTAGCAACCACCTTGCCACAAATACAGCGGGTGTCTAGCTGCTTTGTCAAGGGGCGCAAAGACACGCTTTGTTATCTGACACCTGAACAGTGTTGTCAATTATATATAGACAGGCACGAAGGCCTGCCACTGATGGTCGATGCGTCGGTTAGGCTTCTACCCGAGCACGTACTGGTGCACACGAACACTATTAACTGGCACTATTAACTGGCACTGGGCGTCCATGAACACTATTAACTGGCACTGGGCGTCCATGAACACTATTAACTGGCACTGGGCGTCCATGAACACTATTAACTGGCACTGGGCGTCCATGAACACTATTATCTGGAACTGGGCGTCCATGAACACTATTATCTCGAACTGGGCGTCCATGTCCTGGGCAGGTTTGTTTTCCAGCTCAACCTGGCGCCGGTCTGTTCACAAATGGTCGCTGGGTGTTACCGCGGTGGTGCTAGGTGCACACTTGCTCCGTGTATCGCTGCGGTCGTCGCACAACAGTCACCTGCACAGAGACGGTGGCGTCGTCGAGGTTCAAGAACTACGGAGACTGTTACTGTGCTTGTATTTTACTTGGATACCGATCACCTGCACTGCGAAACTTCAGCTCGCTCGATACTGTTCCAGAAATGTCTGAGCCCGTCGGCTCCCAGCTGTCATTTGACCCACAAATACTGCCCACTCAATCGAGGTATGATTCAGCCCTCCAGCAAAATTACAGTCACCAACTTCCTGGACAGGTCGAGCGGCCGCCGACGCGCAGCGACTTCTCAGGATCGCGACAGCGTGACTCGGGGAGAAGGCTGCCATGGTCCGGGGGTGCGGGGCACGGTGGCGGCGGCGGGGGCAGTGAGGACCTTGGTCAGGAGACTGAAAGTCAAGGCTGGTCTGGTGACGCCGCCGCCGCCGCCGGGCCGCATCGATCGCCCTGCAGCGTGTGTGTGTGTGTGTGTGTGTGTGAGCGTGTGTGTGAGAGCGTCGCGTGTGGCCGGGCGGCGCGCGGCCTGCGCGGGCGGCCCGCGAGGAGCCGGCGCTGGCTGCTGCCGACTGCCAGTGGTACCTCTACCTCTGCCATGAGCGCCTGACGTCCGTGGGCAGGTGAGTGGCGGCAACCGACGAACAATGCTACACAGGATGTCTGGGACGAGGACGAGGCGTAAGTTTAGATGGTAAGATTTCAAACTGATGTCCTCGTCAGCAGTGTTATCATACGCTACTTTGTGTCCGCTTTTGATGTGTGAGTGTGAGTAGCGACAGCGGCAAAGCTTCCAAAGTGTGGATATTAAGTAAGGTTAGGATAAATGTCTCCACTCCACCATACTATTTATGCCCCTCGATGTGTCCACCGCCCTGTACGCTATTGCTCCCAGAGAGTAACTATGTTCCGCAATTAATGCTGCATCAACTGAGTGAGCACCGATGCTAGTTGTACGAGCTAGTCTTATTGGTAATGATGTAGATTCGCGTTGTCCAAATGATTTTCCTGTTATCTGTCGCTGCTTATCACGCTCTTTGCTTGGGGTAATGCTTCTTCGGTTTTTTGTTACGTAAATACCGTGTCTCGTGCGCATATTTTGAGACCTCGATGATAATCAGTAATAATGGTGACTTTTGATAGCAAGAAATGTCATTCTTCGGGAAATGTGAACCAAAGTCGCGCGGTACTTTACAGCAATGTTTGCGAATGTGGGTATTATTATAGCTGAATAACATGTCGGTGTACTTACCTTCATTGTGTCTGAGTAGTTACCGTGTTATAAATCAATATTTTTCCGAATCACTCGAAACTTTGTTACCGTCGACGTCGACATCGCCGCTCATAATGGACACTAGCTCACCATGGTCAATATGGACTTAGCGCCGTCCGTCCAAAGTTGCGCTAGCTTAAGGCAGACGCAAGGAGTTTTGATTCTATGCGACCGGCCGCCGTCGCAGCTGGCAGTGCCTGGCCGGCGCACGTGATGTTTGGAGCGCAGCATGCGAGCTGTTGACTCAGCTCCATTAGCAACCACGTGGTCTCTGTGTAAGCAAGCTGGCGGCCGCCGGCAACTATGGAAAGGGATTGCCCGCCGGGCGGTGGTAGTGTGCTGCGTGCCGGAGGGCAAGGCCCTCGTAAACACGACACGGGACCAAATGCAGCGATGTCGACTGGTTACGGGTCATGCACTGTCCCGCGTTTAACGACATGTTGTGATTGCCCATGAAGTCTTGTAAATAAACATTGTGAAGCGGCTGTGGTACTCACAAAGATGCCACGCGGGCCCCGATGTTTGATGTACTAAAATGCTTGCATGCCTCCTGCCTGATCAAGGTATTGCTTGAGACACAAATGGCCGGTGATGGTCTACATTTGGGGCGAAGAGCCACTCAGCTGAACATGTGCTGCTGACATGAAAATAAGGAAGACCATAGCAGTGAGCTCCGAGCCGGACCTTCCAACTTTTCCAACTCTCTTCAGACTGTTGGTTTGGATCTCAACCCATCGGTTCGTTACCTAGATCATCAGATCTAAGCGAGAAATCCGGGCGACGTCGCAGATGTGGTATCCACGTCGTTGCTGCATTAAGACTGGTGCATGTTTGGCACCATCTGTTTACAACTACCGGTGAAAAACCTTGCCCTTAAAAACCCCTGTGACATAACCCAGTGACGAATTCTGTACTGTCTGGTGACACATTCCGGTGACGAATCCTGTTTTCTCCGGTGACACATTATGGTGACGAATTTTATTCTGTCTGGTGACACATTCCGGTGACGAATCCTGTTTTGTCCGGTGACACATTATGGTGTCGAATCCTGCTTTGTCCGGTGACAGATTATGGTGACGAATTTTATCCTGTCTGGTGACACATTCCGGTAACCAATCCCATCCTGTCTGGTGACACATTCCGGTGACAAATCTTGTCCTGTCTGGTGACACATTCCGGTGACAAATCTTGTCTTGTCTGGTGACACATTCCGATGAAGAATGCTATCCTGTCTGGTGGCACATCCAGGTGGCAAATTTAGTCCTGGTTAGCGGCATATCCTGGTTTGTATGCGGTTTGTCACCTCCAGTGACCAAATAGTGGCGACGCCCCCGATCTGGGGCATAATATCATCGTTGTATGCAGAATGGTACGTGTTTCCCCGCTGTTCATGTGGTGGCCAGAGAGAAGCTGCTGTTAACCTGTACCCGGCCGGGGGTCTGAGACAACCGCGCCCGGCCAGGGGAAGCTGACTCCTTCTGGGATCTACAGCTTTCAGGCGCCGTGTGAGAAAAACAACGATGCTGTTTTAAACGTCTCGTCATGCTATGAAGAATGCACACAAAATATTTGACCTTAGGTCAAGTGTGAGGTCACCAGAAGTCACGAAACGTAAGAAACGATCGTTCAGATAGATCCAGTTATAGGCTATGCTATCATGTCAAGACGGACATTGAGGGCATAGAAATTAATGTTAAGACTGTAGGGAGTCAATTTCCACCATTTCTGTTGCCCCTCAAGGGTCAGGTCAGGTCGGGTGGTGGTTTAAAATGGGTCTACCAGTAGCCTACAAGAACAATACTTTTTCATAATTGCCTTCTAAGTATGTTTTATTGGGTGCAGCTGTGGGATAACAGTATCCCACACACAAAAACGCCATATTCGGCTGACCAAGAGTTTATCTGAGCTCAACTTTGTTCGAATTTATAAGCCATCGAAATAAACAGTCGAAAAGCTAACCTAGTCCATGTCACCAGTGTAATGTTTTTCTGTGGTCAGACATAGTGTTTTGTACATCCACAGATACTCAACATTGAATAGCTTTTGTTTGCATTATGCATACGCTTGACAATATATTTGTACCAAATTAAGAGCAGGCACGTTGATACATGAAATCATCTGTCACCAGCACGATAAAGAGGTGGTGACACCCATCGCCCCCGTTTATCTAGCCTCTCCGCTACTGGCAACATAGTTCATTGGCCTTGGATGACCTCACATGACCTCTCATGTCCTCGTGTGACCTATCGTAATGTCCTAATGCATTAGAATGATCTCAAAGCATGTTTTCAATGGGGTATTCGCATTCTGCGTCTAAAGTTATCTTATACAGTTGGCTGTTTTAAGCTCGGCATGTGCTTCGCAAAAGTTACCTGGTAGAGGTAGGTCAAGGGCCAAGGCCGTGGGCTCTGTGGTTATTTGATGGTTGTACCTGTGAATTGGTACTTTTTACCTCATATTCTAATGCCAAACTGCATAAAAATGCGTGCAAATTTGCATTATTTCTGAAAAATAGCAAAAGTCGACTTGACCTGAGGTCACTGATCTCGGCCGATTTAAAAAATCTGAAATATTCAAACTGTAGTTATTACCATGCCTTATTACGGAAGCAAGTTAAAATAATAACAAATAAACCACAAAAAACATTATGTCTGGTCAGATTAGTTTAGAGGTTGCCTCTTTGACCTGACTTAGGTCACTGATCTTGGCAGATCAAAACTTCAGGCTCACACGAATAATGGCAGATTGATTCATGAGCAGAAGTTAAAAGTTGTATTCTGCTGCGATTGTTTGTTTTGGACCCGTGCTCGAATAACCGTAGGGGGTAGGGGGTAGGGGGCGGGGTAAGTATTGGTCGACTTACCCCGCCCCCGGTTGGGGACATGTTGAAAGCGAGTTAGCGACTGCTTTCCCCCAATGTGCGGAAAAGGCAGCAGGGGAGCGTGGTAGTGGAAACATCAACTTTCGCTGGCGTCGATACACTATTGACGGCTTGACATTGTAGCATGTTTTTTCTGCTACTGTACCACACGGCCTTCTCTGGGAATTCCCCACCTGTGCCTGCTCATGCGCACGGGCTCGTCATGAAAGATATCGTGGCTGTCGCGGACAGAAGCGCAGGTCGCAATCTCTGGCCGCGTCGCAGCTGTTTCTTGGTCACCACTGGTAGACAGGGTTACAAAGTAGCCTGTGTTTTAAAAGAGCGCCGGAGATGGTGTTTTGGCTCCTTGCCTCTTGCCACTGCTGCAGGTTCTGAGGTCATATCGTTGGTGTTGCCTGTGGCTTAGTTGCGGCCATGATCCTGATGCTGCCGCACGTGCGCCGACAGGATGCCGAGGAAGCGGTCTGCGCTGATGCGGCCGCTGGTGGCGCTGGCAGCGCCCGGCACCTTCCTCTTCTGCAAGCTCTCCCAGCTGCAGGAGACAGCCAAGCGACGCGTCACCGAGCGTGAGCTCAAACAGCTCAACCATAAGATCGTGAGTGGGTGGCAGCGGGGGCGCTTCAAACGCGCAGCCACAGCCTGCGGTCCTGCAGCATCGTGCCGATAACGCCGGTCGCCGGAGGGAGCGACGGACGCCGAGCGAATGACGCGCTGGGGCGCTTCCAGGCGGGGCTTGTAAAAACTAAAGACATTATGCATGCAGACATGCTGCCAGACTAGTAACAACGCGTTGCAACGGTGCGATTTCTCTCGACCCGTATTTTTGGCACGCGTGGCATCTGTGGTGACAAATGTCGTTACATAACCATAAGCGATCCTTGTTATTGCTGGCGATCTCGCTGAGCGGTAGAGCACTGCTCTCCAATCAGCGAGTCCGGTCGATAGATGCCGGAGATAACGAGGTGGTGAACATCCGGGGGACCGGACAATTATCCCCCTCCCCCCTCCCCCCCCCCACGGACGAGTCAAGGACGGCCGCGCGCGCAGAAGGCCACAGTCCACGCCTCGCCACACTGCAGCCATATTGATACAGTTTTCGGATAAACACTGGAGGACTGAGTGCCCTATTAGAGTGTAGAATAACTGTCTGCAAACGATGACACGGCTCTCGAATGTGCCCACTCATCACATCACCCGGTGCTGCCAATGGGAGTGGGCGGCCCCGGCTTAGGCCCCAGTCGTGAAGCCCCGCCGGTTCCTGAGGTTGGGACGTAGCCACTGCATCACATTCTCGCGTCGTCCCAATCCCGCCTCGTTCCATTACCGCTTCCTCCTACTCCCGCGTCTTTACACTCCCCCGTTGCTCCACTCCGGTGTCCTCCCACTCCCGCGTCGTCCCGCTCCCGAGTCCTCCCACCCCGAGTCGCTCCACTTTCTTGGGCTCGTCCGCTCCACTGAGCCTCCTCAGCAGCGCGCGTCTCCCTTGTTAAAGTGACCCTTCATGAGTCACAGTCACAGCTTGCCAGGCTTTTGCGTGCATGGCATCTCATCATGGAGATCTCACCAGACGACCACGGTAGGTCACCACAGGATCCCATCATACGGCCACGGTAGGTCACCGCAGGATCTCATCAGACGGCCACGGTAAGTCATCGTAGGATCTCACCAGAAGGCCACGGTAGATCGTCATAGGATCTCACCAAACGGCCACGATAGGTCCTCGCAGGATCTCACCAGACGGCCACGCTAGGCCATCATGGGATCTCACCAGACGGCCACAGTAGATCGCTATGGGGTCTCACCAGACGGCCACGGCAGGTCACCGCAGGATCTCATCAGACGGCCAGGGTAGATCACTATGAGGTCTCACCAGACGGCCACGCTAGGTCACCATGGGATCTCACCAGACGGCCACGGTAGGTCATTGCGAGATCCCTCCAACGAAAGCGACAGATCATTGCAGTAGCCGGTTCAAACCTCTGAAACGCGGCTCTGAATCCTGGTAAGGAATTATGAGCTAGATTACTAGGAATGCCGGAGGTAAGCCCGTCTCTGTCGGGTCTGGTATAATCGGAAATCGACCAGATTAGGTTGAATGTCCTGCGATAACCCCTGCCTGCGCTCTCCCTTGTAACTGTCGGCTCACACCTGCGCCTATCGTGCTGCTGGACTCCATACGCCCGCTTCGACGTGCTCGTTAAGAGCGACACCCGACTGGCTGCAAGCCACGTCCGCATCGACCATTTCCGCCCGGCTCCTCACGGCAGGCGATTGGCTGGCTGGCCGGCGGCCGGCCGGGCCGCGTCGGGCCGCGCTGGGCGGCGCCCGGTGCTGCCGTCGCCGGGGAGGTGGCGGGCCTGATTGAGAGGCCTGCCCGGCTGACTGGCGGCCCGGGCCTGGCGCCGCCAGCTACCCGGGCCGGCATTTCACCGCGGCCGGGGCGCGCATCGATCGACCCCCGGCGGCTGCCGCGGCCCGGGCCCGCCGCCGGCCGCCAGCCCGCCCGCCCGCCTACACGCGGCTGATGGAGCTGGAGGCAGCGTTCAAGGCCAGGGTGAAGCGAAATCTGGCGGCTGTGCGATGCTGAGTCTTCGGCTGCTGCTGCCATGCTTGTGGTGTGGTAGCTACATTCAAAAGCTCGATGTGGCTGGCTCTCATCCGCCAAAATATACACATCCAAAGGTGTTTTACATGCTAAGTGTCGTAGAGAAGCTTGCATGTTATGCTGTATTTTACACGAGCTTACACCCTAATCGTACAGACTGCCTTTTCACTGACATGACTGTATCACTTGACTGAGCATTTGCGCTCGAGAAGACCTGAGACGACCCTGCGGCATACCGGCGCATTACGGTCGACGAGTGTGGGAGTCAAAACCGTGCGGGAGGTCATATCTTTTGTGGTGCAGGTCTGAACACTCACCCGTCGGTGATTAGGAAGACGCTACTTTCCTGCCGATAGGCATAAACGGTGCACTAAAACCACTCCAGGCCGCGTTCCCCATCTCCAATAACTGCATACAAGTTGCAACCTATGACGTTAGAGGTAAGTGCGTCACAACAGCTCCTTCGGCTTGATGATGGTCGCTTATGTGCGGCGTAGTTACTTGCGACATCATAGGTAGCATCTCAAGTAGTTACTTCGCCAATGGGGAACGCGGCCTTGGTCTCACCCTGACCCCACACTGACTGACTCGCCATGATCGGCGAAACCGTATTCCAATTCGCTCAAGGCTTTTTCCGTTTATTTGATGGTTGTTCAGTGATTTTTCCATCAGATTTGTTTGCTGGTACCATATGTATATGGCCATTTGCTAACTTAGGGGTGATCTCATGTATGCTGCAGGACGGACAGCAGGGTGGCTCTGATGAAGGGGGCAGGCGACTATATTCGCTGTTGCCTGGCGTCGGAGGGCTGTGTAGTGCGGCACAGTATACGCGCTAGGCGCTGGCCGGCCGGCGCCGCCACAAGGTTCGGTGGGTCATTCCTCGTCTAGCGATGCTAGCTGCTGTTATATTACCTGGCTGCGCAGGTCCACCGACTATTCTGGTCAAACTAAAACTTTCTACCAATGCAATGCTCAAAATAGGGTTGATCCTTTCGGATTATTCACGCCATTAACGACAACAGCCGAGAGCTGACTATAAGCATTTTTGGTGGCAAATTTGGCGAAGCTGGCGACAAACCAAATAGCCCTAAGAGTCTCACTCATACAAAAACTTGTCAAGTGTCTGACTTAATTACATTTTATATATATATATATATATATGTATGTGTATTTCATTTCATTTATCATATATGAAACATCGATGCAACCAAAGCACGCTTCATAAATTACGAAGAAAGGAATTCAGCAAACGGTACCGGCAGAATTACTACAGAGAAGGATATAAGCTGACACGAAAACTGGCACCTGCGGAGACCGCAAAATAGGTGACAAAAAATGGTCGCGTGCGGCCTTATCTTCACAGCCCTCGCTCAAGCTGTATCGATGTGGTGGGCGTAAGAACACCTGTGTGCAAACGTGCGGCAGCCGCACCGGCACCGGGCGGCGTCGCCTGCACCTGCATCAGCTATATGACGCATTTCGATGGCTCCTGGACAGCTCACTTTTATTATTGTCATATTTATGCAATTGCGTAGTTTACTGTGGACCACGCCGTCGAAACGGGAATGGATTGTGACCACGTGGGTAATTCACATTTCTGTGGTGACTCACACCATGCAGAAGGGTTCCTTTGTTCTGCCGAGCGAGCATCGATCTGTCGGCGCCGTTTCAGCAGTCACGTGACGTCAGACCACCGGCGGGAAGGCTTCTTTGGTGTGGTCACGTGATGCTGCCGCGGGCAGGTCTCTCTCTTCCATGCGTATTTCGGGACGTTATATTGGTCGTCATGTTTTGCCCATGCGTTTTCCGTGCTGTGGATGAGTGGCACTGCAAAAAAATGGTTTTCTGGGAGGGTGTTTTCTGCGTTGGTATTAGCATGCACGGCTTATATCGCATAATGTAACCTCCATTCTTGCTGCAAGTACAATTTAGCTCAATAGTGCATTTTCGCAATATTTATCCGAATGCTTTTCTGGTACTTCATTTTCGACATGCAACTTGTCTATGTAATATCCTAGGTTAAATGGTCAACTTCGAACAAGTACCAAGTATTCATGCCGCCAATTCCACCTATTCGACAATGACCAAATTCTACTCATGCCGCAATTATGATCTATCGCATGCATCGTACATCGCATTAAACTGCCCCTGTGCGGTAATCCTCCGAAACACGACTCTCCCGGCGGCGTGATCGGCCTTTGAACCTGATCAGCCTTTGAACCGGATCAGCCAGCGCGCGGCGGCGTGATTGGCCTTTGAACCTGATCAGCCAGCGCGCGGCGGCGTGATTGGCCTTTGAACCTGATCAGCCAGCGCGCGGCGGCGTGATTGGCCTTTGAACCGGATCACCAGCGCGCGGCGGCGTGATCGGCCTTTGAACCGGATCACCAGCGCGCGGCGGCGTGATCGGCCTTTGAGCCTGATCAGCCAGCGCGCGGCGGCGTGATCGGCCTTTGAGCCTGATCAGCCACCGCCCGAGACTGGCCTGGCTCCAATGCGCCGTGCTGCCAGCGCCCGGTGTCGACCTGTGCCGTCTTGATAACGACGGGCGCCGTTGGTGCGCCGCCGCCCCGTGTGTGAGCGATTACTCCTGGCCGCGGGACAGGCGGCAGGGCGGCTATTAGGGCCGCTCGGCGCCGGCTGTTTTTCCGCCGTTAGCCGCAATCGGACCGTCTCATCAGCGGTAATCCCGCGTCTCCGGGGAGTCGCCGCCCGCTGGCCCGCTAACGAGAGCGAGCGCCGCGTGACGTCACCGGCACCGCTGCCCGGCCCGGGGCGAGCCGGCGGCGCGTCCGCCTGCGGCGACCCGCCGGCGCGGGGCGTGTAATCCCGCCTCGGCCGTGTGACGACACCGAGCTACCCTGAGCGGCTCTCAGTGAGGGATGGTGGGGCGCCGGGGGGCTGGCGGGGATTTGGTGAGGGATGGTGGGGCTCCGGCCGGATGGCGGGGTCTCAGACCAGAGACGGCTGAGAGAGGAAGATGGGTGATGGCGTCAGATGACTTATGCGCTTGATGGTCCGGATGCCAGTGTGTCACGATGACTGTGATAATGATGATGACGTTTAGCGCTTAACGCTGCGGATAGCACAGGCTTGGCAGCCGACCCGCAACAATGTACATTCATGCTGTGAGGTTGCCAGGCTGCGTGATCCAAAGTCTCAGAGATGTCACCCGGCCAGTGTTTGACGTGCGGTACTCGGTCTGACGCCCCGCGTCTCCAGCCCCCTCCCCTCCCCCAAAGATGTTTCGACATCACTCCTCAAAGAAGCAGCTAACTTCATGGACGGTTTGTTGCAGGACAAGCTGCTGCTGAAGCTGGACGAGTCAGAGACGGAGCCAGCCACATCACGAGATGAGGAGGTAGGTCATGAGACGGTTTCCCTCCACCCTGACTCCTGCGGGCGGCTCGCCGAGCCATTAATCGGTCGTGAAGATATTTTGTGGGCCAGAAGTATTTACAAAATATTGTAGCATGCATCTTTGGGGATCACGTTCGTAGATGCATCAATATGAATTTTAAAAACCCGCTATGCCAAAGAAGTGTTGCGAGAGAGAGAGGGGAAGGAAGAAAGAGAGAAAGGAGAAAGAAAGGGATAGAAAGAGGGAGAGAGTGAGAGCTGGAAGGGAGAGAGGGTGAGAGAGGGAGAGAAAGAGAGAGAGGGGAGAGAAGGAGAGAGAGAGAGAGAGAGAGAGAGAGAGAGAGAGAGAGAGAGAGAGAGAGAGAGAGAGGAGAGAGAGAGAGAGAGAGAGAGAGAGAGAGAGAGAGAGAGAGAGAGAGAGAGAGAGAGAGAGAGAGAGAGAGAGAGAGAGAGAGAGAGAGAGAAAGTGGGAGAAAGAAAGAATAGAGACAGAGAGAGTGAGAGAGTCCTCTTTACTCGGGCCGGCCATGAGTCCATTCTCCACCAAAAGACTCACCATGTCTGACGGCCAACAGCAATGTCATGAGTCCGCATACAAGCGAGGTTGTTTTGCATGATTCCAGAGGTCTCCGCTGGCCGTATTTATGAGTATGAGAAGAGTAATATCTGTCTGTGTCCACGTGACACGACAGCGATGAATATCGCATGGTAAGAGTTACAAACACGTCACGTCGCAGCAACTTTTGGACCTAACTCATACATCTGCCAGACATCCGGCTGCCATAGTTTACTGGAGGGGTCTGGGCAGCGTGCTCACGAACAGATGTACGAGCAGAGAACATTCTCATGGATTCTGCGCTAACCATGCTCTGTCGCTTGAGGAAGAAAATGTGTACAGATGCACTAGATGCTTGCATGCATACACTTTATGTCCAGAAAGGACGGTTCTTGTCATGCGACCGGAGAACCTTCGCGCAAATGCTTTGTACAGTATATTAAGTACGCCTTCTCAAGACGTGGAGACATGCATGCCTGATCAGCATAACAGACGTAACCCGCTCTGCCAGGCAGGCTTAAGAGGCGCTTGTCAACCAACCTTGTGATGAATGATGGCATTTTGCATGTGTGCATTGCCAAATGTCTTCCATGGACAGCCATGGGCAGCTCTTTCCAGCATCCTTGCGGTTTCATTTCGAAACACTACTTGTTGGTACGGTGTGTGTGTGGGGAACGGGGGGGGGGGGGTGAGGGGTTGTAAGTGGGCCATTGCTCATTTACCTTTGTAGCAGTCTAATCTCCCTCCCCATGGTGACGCTGGGAAACGGTTGACTTCGAAATGGGACTTGGATTCCCTTTTCTTGGTGCGTTTCCTTACCCCTGTTCCGAAATAGACGAAATTGTTTAGTTCTTGAAGTTTCATTCTCTGCGGACCGCATTTCCAGTCTAAGCATGGATTGATAATATTCTGCTCCATTATTTTGCTGCTACCATTTAATTCTTGATGTGTGATGAGTCGAAAGCTGAACTGGTCGTCGAGCTTCAGTAATAAGTCGCTTATACGTAAGTATGTGATGTAGGTAAACTGACCATCATATTGTCTGCTCGTCTCACTCCCAAATTCATTCACTGATGAAAAACACATTTTACGATCAGAGGCCAGTGTGAAGGTGAGATCAGACAGGAAATAAATAATAGTTCTTTGCGAAATCAGTCTCTGAGACCAATTTCATCGAATGGCGTCATGAGGTGAGTACATTCGAAAGTGGGCTGGACGCGGCGCATCGACGCCCTCACGTCCGTTCCAAGATCCGGACGGTGTTTTCCATTTGGTGCTCTGCCGTGTCGGTGATGCTGTCCAGAGGACCTGACAGAGCCCTGTAGCCTGTACTCAGTCAGCAGGAGCGCCGTCTGAGCACCAGCACGCAGCACTATCTAAAACATCACTGAACATGGCCGCCATGTGCTCAGCGGCCGGGTTATTTGGTGCTGGAACAAGTGACTGGCGGCGCAGTATCGAGCCCCTGCCGTCGGCCGCATGCTGTTCCGCATGACTGACGTGCGAAGCCCGCCGCTCTGAACGCGGCTGGGCGAAGTGACATGATGAAGAAGAGGTAGCTGCCGCTAGATTGATATTGTCATCTTACAATGGGTGCCATAATGCAGTACAGGGCGCTCCATCCTCATTAATCGTCATCAGACGGAAACCCGATGAGAGAACGAGCACCTGTGGGAGGCCCGGACGTGAGAAGCTCTTACTTAATGTTACATCTGGGGCTATGCATGGGCTTTGGTGTATCACGCACATATGATTTTGAAGAAGAGGTTTTCCCACTCACTATGCAAAACAACCATCCCATTTTCGCGGTTGCATTTGACTTGATCAACTGATTTGGGAAGACGTCGCAGAGTGCACAAACTCTCCTTACAGTGTATCTTTCCTAGCTGGACTGTGTCGGCCGCCACCCGAACATATCGGTCCGATCGCCACGGGCTCGTAGCTACTTAAAGACGTTGACCTGGTAACCGTGAAACGTTGTAATGATGTTAACGCATGCGACTGAACAAGACTTCCCAATTTGACTGAGTAATCTTCGTCATTCACTCCTTTCGTAAACGGACAGGAGGACAGTGGGAGCCTTCGCTCAGATTCACATCCCTGCGCAATAGCTTTAAATATATCAGCTCCAGCCGGGACACTAAAGACGGCGAGTCCATCCAGTACAAGTGGGTGAGCGAGGGACGGCACTTGTGTGCGGCACCTCATATCCACATCAGCACGGCAGTCGAAACATCAAGTGGAATATGTCATTCCGGACGCTGCGAACCACAGAAAAGACACGGCCAAGTACACGTCTTTATTCCATTTTGCAAACATCATTTTTGACATTACTTTTGTATTACGCTAATCCAAGGGTGGGTGGCTTTTTCTTATCGCACGTGCCGCGCGCTCAGGCACTTCTGAAGGGACCAACCACCGGGTCTGCATGGCGACGGGGTGCTGGGTGTGTAGTGCCTGCGTGCGTCTTGGTGTCCATATTTCAGCCGCCAGCAGGTCACACTCGATTCAGCCGAGGTGTTCCGCGAGATTATGCTTTTCTTAAAGGCTTAATCGCCTTTGTTTTTGTTTATTCAAGAGCGCATCCGCCGTTTTACGCCCTAAATCAGTGACAAGAGTGTATGGGCGCACAAGCATTCAAGTTTCGAATGCTGTTAAGGATCTACAAACTGCAAACACAAAATCGGCGTAAATGTTGAAAGTGTGTGCGTTTTTGCTGTCTCGGGAGACAGAGTCGGCACAGTAAAAAACACGAGCATGTCACCCCCAAAGTGTTTCTCTGCTAGTCAGTGGCATAGAAGGGGGGCCATGTCGCGCTGGAGTCCCCCCTCTCTGGGCCGGACCGGGAATGTGTTCAGGCGAGGCTGTGGTCGAGCTGGACATATGTCCAGGCGGGGCTGCGGCCTGACCGGAGATATGTCCAGACGGGGCTGCGATCGGGCTGGACATGTGTCCAGACGGGGCCGTGGTCGGGCCGGACATATGTCCAGACGGGGCTGCGGTCGGGCCGGACATGTGTCCGGACGGGGCTGTGGTCGGGCCGGACATGTGTCCAGGCGGGGCTGTGGTTGGACTGGACATGTGTCCAGACGGTCCTGGGGTCGGGCCGGCCGCTCGTGGTGGCGAGATGGTGCGCCGCAGGTCGAGGACGGCTCTGAGTGGTGTGGCCACACATGCCGAACACTCATCAGGCTTGACCACCGTCAAGTGGAAGCGAGACAAAGGAGAGAGGGAAGCACACTCCTTAGGCGAAGGGAGAGAGCGCTTTGGCTTCCATTAGCTAGATCAGGTACAGTTGGTGTGGCCAACATTTCTGTTGTTGATTCTGAGATTGGCTGGGAAGTTAAGACCTAAACTAGCCAGATAAGCATATTCACGATCATTCGTTGTTTCTCGCAAGTTCTGCTTCTAGAATGCCGCTCTGCGAATGCGCCAGCAACAGATCGGCGCCTCCCAGTAGGCAGGGTGGGCGCGGCGAGCGGGGTATTTGCCTGGGTGGCTGTCTACCACGTCGTCGGACGACCAGCGACGTGATGTAATGTTCAAGAGGAGGTCACAGTCATGAAATGATCGGATATGGTCGGGTGTGATCGACTGCAGGAGGCCCAAGTGGCAACAGGCCCTCGCCTTGATCGATTGGAGGCCCCGACCCGGGACAGTAGGCGCATTACAGGAGATAAGTCAGATGGTCTCAAGCTACGGTACAGCAGGCAGCCTTGTCCTAGCATGAGGCCTCACTCACTTCCACGTATGGCTAGGATGCTTGCCGAATGTCGGGTGGATACTAAGGGCACTGCATAGTGTTGCAGCTTGGGCTTCTTTCAGCCCTGATGTATCCAATTCACACTACTTTCGCAATCATCAAAACAGTAGACTATATTGAGACCTAACATTGTCTGAAACTCTTCCGCGGCTCAAAAGTAAAGTGTCGGAAAATGCCAGCCGGTGGGTAGCGTGTGTCTACAAGTGATCACAAATATGTAGCGGCTGAATACGGGCACAGTGCCATGGGTGGCGGGTAGATCGGGTGGGTGAGGGAAATCTTACCCATGACGGCTTCTTCAAGGTAGAGGCCATTCATGAGAACTGGCCAATTCCCTGTCCGTAGCCCGCCCCTATATTCAGCACACTACATCGACATTAAACGCGGGTTGAACCTGTGGAGTGAAATCAGTGTGATATTTCTCTGTTTTGCATCTGTTTTGGATTATATCGCCTGTGTGAGCAAACAGAAAACAAATTTACGCCACTTCAGGTGTGACGTTCTCCAGCCAGCCTGGAGGTCCTCTGCACAGATCATGAACTGACCTTACGAACCTCATGCACCTTATCGATGTGACGCATCCTTGCTGGTGAGCCCGGTCCAGCGCGGTAGAGCTGACCTTATGAACTGACCTTATGAACTGACCTTATGAACCTCATGCATCTTATCGATGCGACGCATCATTACTGGTGAGCCCGGTTCAGCACGGTAGAGCGGTGTAAATACAAATCTAGTAAATCCGTGACGAATGGTTCATCAACAGCTAAGGCCCCGAATCTAAGAGCAGAACAAAAACGTCAGCTGAAGCGGAGTATGGGCAGCTCATCGGAGCGTTCTGGTCGCGACCTGAGGTGTGTTTAAATGTGCATGGTTGAGAACCGAAAACATCCAAGTGGGCCTCATCAAGCGCAGACCCTCTCAGGTGCCTCTGCAGGCCTGCCTATCCACAGGAAGACATCATTGAAATGATGATGTCAAAATCATAAACATGACGTTCGAAAAGCTGCATCGGCTCGTTTTACAAGTTGTTGCCGTGATCATTCGGTAGAGGTATGTGAGCTGACCATGCTGACGTGTTTCAGTGCGTCGTCTGCATCAGCGCCAAGGCCACCATGCAGACGTTCCCATGCGGTCACTGCGTGGTGTGCCGCAAGTGCTTCATCAAGACCATCCAGATGACGGTCACGCAGCGTGCTCTGCCGCTCAGGTCAGCCTCGGGCCGGCTTCAAAGGGGTGTCTGGTCAGCCTCGGGTCGGCTTCAGCAAGGGGTGTCTGGTCAGCCTCGGGCCGGATTCATAGGGGTATCTGGTCAGCCTCGGGCCTGGCTTCATAGGGGTGTCTGGTCAGTCACGGGCCTGCTCCATAGGGGTGTCTGGTCAGCCTCGGGGCCTGCTCCATAGGGGTGTCTGGTCAGCCACGGGCTGGCTTCAGGGGAGGGGTGTCTGGTCGGCCCAGGGCCGGCTGCAGGGGGAGAGGGGGGGGGGGACTTAATCAAGTCACCTTACGGTTTGACCCTGGCCGGTGTTCGGAACCATGCACGAGTAAGCCCCTAGCGTCAAGCCCGCCCAGTGTATGGGTCGGACTGCAGTGAGTGACTGGTGTAGCGTCTGGCCGGTGCTTCGTTTCGACTCAAGCCCGGTTGGCACATGAGTGCTTCGACAAGATCTGTATCACCACACTGTGTCACTCGTGGGCAAGGCGTCATGGGTTAGAACTGTGTTCCTCTCCGACTTAAAGAAAGATTAAGCGCTTTCTCTGGTTTGTGCGGGACAAGATCAGTAGATGTTTAATACATGTACTCACCGCTTTGTGCTTACTTATATGCGCTCCAAGTATGCCTAGTTTAGTATTATATGCTTGCATAGGTCTTCAGGGGAGGAGCTTCCCACCCAGCTCGATACCCCCTCCCCAACATGGGTTCCTGTTGTTCCAACTTTCAGGAGAAGATGGATGAAATCCTGGGGAATTCCGTTTGCTGGATTATTTTGGGTAAGGTTACGTTATTTTCCGCTTCTTCAGCCACCCAACTTATTTTGCGATATCATACCCCGGTGGATTCTAATCGCCAAACTATTTCCGTAATGCAACTAATTGCCACTTATGTCGGATTTATACGGCAGTTTGCACATTAGCGTCGAAAGGCACCAGTGAGCATCCGTTAGAGCCGGGGAGGTGCGCCATCTGCGGATGACGCAGGTGCGCGCATCGCCGCAGCTTCAGCCGGACCTGGCTGGTGGGTCAGGTGTCGTGCGTGGGGCGGAGCGACTCATGCCCAGAGCACGCTACCACCCGGCCGGGTGACCGGCCCACCACCTGCTCTCCCCTCCGCTCCCCTCCCCCTGCCCTGAGTGCCCAATTTGTCTCTCTGCGGACCGGTGGTTATTGGTTGGGGGTCGAGATCGATTTGACACGTTGGTCGGCGAGAGGCGAGCCCGACACAGATCTCGTCACAGTCCCAGCCTCTTGGCTGCAAGGAATCCCGACCTGTACAGTGTATACACAGCACCGCCCAACCTCTCCCGAGCTAATCCTAACCTTGTATGCTTATGGGAGTTTTGGCGCCTTCCTCACTGTATCCCGAGCGCGTCCCCGACGTAATCCAGATCTTGGTGCCTGGGCAGTTCATGTCCCTGACCCGTGATGACAGCCACTGCCCGGTCCTGAGACAGCGACAGCCAGCTCAGTACAGTCGCAGTAGCCCCTGTTCCATTTACCATCCTAACGCACAATATCAATGTGGAAAGTGTCACTAGTGTCAGCAGTAGTGTCATTAGTGTCAACATTACTCACACGTACAGATGTGCTCTTCAAATGCAGGTGAACGCCTTGCTGTACAAATGTGCTATTGTATGCGACCAGAGACGTACACAAAGGAGTGTCACACAGGCCCGCACCACTCACTCGGTAAATGTGAGTCCCCGGGAAGAAACGCGAAGAAAGAACGTTCGAAAAGCGTCTCGTTTTATGCTTATCTCTCTAAGCAGCACAGACGTGACATGAGGAGTTCCCAAGAAAAAAGACAGTATGATGGCCTGCGTGTATGTAGCGACCGGTTCCCAAGTGGCCTTGTGGGAATTTTTTGTCGAGGTCCCCTTCCAGACCATGCTCCTCCTTGCAAAAGTGCTGTGCGTGTGTGCGCTGCGTACAGGTCAGCATTGGCGCCAGCTATACGCTCTTGGCGTCACCTGCAAATAAGCTGTGCTACGCCCCTCCGCGGTGCAGAAGAGATTGCAACACTCTCCGGTGATGTCGCTCAGCTGACTGTCATCGCCGGCAGGTGCGTGCTGTGTCGGGAGCGTGTCAGTCGGCTGAAACAAACCTTCCATTGCTCATACGACATGCGCCTGCCGCTCTCCGCCTCCCAGTACTCGATGACGGCGTCGGTGTCGTCATCGCCCGACTGGGACCTACCCTCGTCGTCGTCGCTGTACTCAGTGTCCTCTGGGTGTTCAGGTGAGCTCGCCGACGCGAGCCCCTCCCTCGACCTGACGCGCGCGTCCGCGACGTCTTCGGCGCTCGCTCCTGGTCGCTGCGTGTACGGCCTCACGCCGGTGGGCACGTGCTCTTCGCGTCTGGCGGGGCTCGGCCGGCGGCGGTCACCGAACCGCGCCTGGCGCCCGACACGCGATCGTTAACCACCTTGCACGCCACCCCGCCGCACCTGTGTGCTCTCCAGAGTCCGCCCGACTAGTACAGCCTCAGCGATTCAACAAGGCGCCAAGGCGTGTTTGTAGTTCGGGAACCCTGACATAGGCAACCGTTTAAGCTAGTGGGAATGTGTTTATGATAATGTCGTCAAGAAAGGAAATAAATGTGCATGACTGTTTTATATGCAAGTGAGCAGCAAAGGAGGGTGGAGCAGTAATACGGTGAGCTTCCCAAAGCGTTGCGGCTCTTCCCTCTTCACTACCACAAAATATCGTGGTTGGCGTGTGGGTACAGCTCTGGCCCGCCACCGGAGAGCACCACCTGTGACGGCTGGTGTGTGGCGGTGACGTCCGGGTCAGCCGTAACGGCCGGTGTGTGACGGTGACATCCTGGTCAGCCGTAACGGCCGGTGTGTGACTGTGACGTCCGGCTCACATGTGACGGCCGGTGTGTGACGGTGGCGTCCGGGTCATCTGTGTCGGCCGGTGTGTGACGGTGATGTCTGGCCCAGCCGTAACGGCCGGTGTGTGGCGGTGACGTCCGGGTCAGCCGTAACGGCCGGTGTGTGACGGTGACGTGCGGCTCAGCTGTGACGACCGGTTGTGACGGTGATGTCCGGCTCACCTGTGATGACCGGTTGTGACGATGACGTCCGGCTCACCTGTGACGGCTGGTGTGTGACGGTGATGTCTGGCTCACCTGTGACGGCCGGTTGTGACGGTGACGTCCGGCTCAGCTGTGACGGCTGGTGTGTGACGGTGACGTCCGGCTCACCTGTGACGGCCGGTTGTGACGGTGACGTCCGGCTCACCTGTGACGGCCGGTTGTGACGGTGACGTCCGGCTCACCTGTGACGACTGGCTGTGACGGTGACGTCCGGGTCACCTGTGACGACCGATTGTGACGGTAACGTCCGGCTCAGCTGTGACGACTGGTTGTGACGGTGACGTCCGGCCTACCTGTGACGACTGGTTGTGACGGTGACGTCCGGCTCACCTGTGACGACTGGTTGTGACGGTGACGTCCGGCTCACCTGTGACGACTGGTTGTGACGGTGACGTCCGGCTCAGCTGTGACGACTGGTGTGTGACGGTGACGTCCGGCTCCCCTGTGACGGCCGGTGTGTGACGGTAACGTCCGGGTCATCTGTGTCGGCCGATGTGTGACGGTGACGTCCGGCTCACCTGTGACGGCCGGTGTGTGACGGTGACGTCCGGCTCCCCTGTGACGGCCGGTGTGTGACGGTGACGCCGACTCAGCCGTGACGAGCGGTGTGTGACGGTGACGTTGGGCTCAGGTGTGTCGGCCGCCAGCCACGCCAGCCACCTCAGCAAGTCTTCCTTCCGCTCGGCGGTCAGCTCAGCCTCCGGCAAGAAGCGCGTTACTTTCGCCGTGACGCCGCTCCTGCACCAGCCGCCGCCCACTGGTCAGCTTTCCGCCGTGAGTGATGACCCCAGCCGACGGTTGACCTTGACCCAAGCCGACGGTTGACCTCGACACCGGGTCACGGAAGGGTGGCACGTCCCGACTCGGGTGGTAATACACGGTAAGCCCACACTACAGTTGGCGGGCGGCAGCATGTACCCGGTACGAGCTGGCAGTTCGTACAAAGTCATGATGCCAGCGAACAGATGTTGTCAACGGGCGGCCAGCAGCAAGGTTACCAGGCCAGGCTAGGTCATGTCAGGAACGCATCTCAAAAGAGTTTTGAGTTAAGTTTACGATCCGTCCAGGTCTGGGGTACTGTGATACTACAAGGGCTCTCTGACGGGATGGTTGGAAGTTTTACCGGGCTGTGGGAATATACAACTTCTGTTGTTTCTTTCCAGCCAGCGCGCAAAGAACCAATGAAAACTTTTCGGGAAACGGTTTACTCCCAGCCCTCCCCATCTCCGTACGTCAACCCCCCCCCCCCCCCCCCGCCCAACCTCCCCCCTGGTTTCCGCGGCTCTGCTCTTGGATTATAGGATTGGTGACCCGCGATGTAAAGCGGCCTTATCCTGGGTCAGAGCGCTGAGATCGCTTGTGCCTGTGCTCTCAAACAAGCCCTTCAGACGGTGTGCATCACGCTGGAGGTGCTTCGAGAAAAGGGTCATGAAAGCGCTTTATCGTCTTCGGCGCTAGTTGGTCCCGTGTTGTCCCCGTCTGGGGCCGTTCATAAGACATCATCGCCGGCGATCCTGCCGCGCCGCGGGAGGCGACCTCAGCGCCAGTCCGCCGCAGCTTCAGCGCCGGCGCCTGTGCCCCTCCTCGCGGAGTAAGCCCGGTGGGAGGCCGAAGGGATCATTGCTGACTACTGCGGCCCTTCGCAGGGGGCGACCTCGGCAGCCGTCCAGTCTTCGCGCACCATGCTCCGCGACCAGGCGGCGGTGGCGGCGGCGGAGCAGGCCGCCAGAAGGCTGGACAGCCGCAGCAAGGTGAGTGGACCAGCACCCGGGCTGCCGCTGCCACCGCCGTCCAGCACCCACGCGACCGCCAAGCGGCGCTCAGCTCTGCTGATTAGCCTGAAATGATTTTCTGGCGCCCCCACGAAATCCCATGACTCATGGACAGTTGTAGGTACAGGGGTTTCTCATCCTGTTCCTGTTTTCCTGTTTTCTAATAGGCTGCTCAGGACGTGATGTGGCTGTAATTAATTCGCATTTAGTTTGCGAGAACTTCTGTTCCTTCGCTGAATTTGTAGTAGTACTCTTTCCTGCTAGTTACAATTTAGTTTCGTTGAATTTCATCCTACTTATTACAATAACTACGAATTATAGAAATTGTAATTAGTAGGACGAAACTTGCCGCTCCTGCTACGTCTGTTAGGTACCTAAAATCTCTGCTAGATTTGATCAAAAACGATTTTTCAAAAACGAAAACGAAAAAACACTTACCGTTAAGTTGGAGCCTACCATATGCGTACGCAACGATGCTGTTTGTACACTTAAGACACTGATTAGCATGTTTCTGTTTGAAGATCTACATGACTTGGCAACCTGACGTATCCCTGGTCTGGAGTGATCCATTGCGTCCCAAAAGGCGAGTCCTTTTTTATTAAAGAATGGTCCAGTAAACTAGCTTGGTATTCGTTTGAAAATAACTGCTTTCAGTTTTTGTCAATTTTCGCATATGAGTAAATTCGGTCTTCATGACATGCCCTCATGAGGGGATATTGGAGGGCTGGGACCGAAATAACAATGTGATACACTTCGTAAAAGTTAAGAGATTCGTGTCAATATTAAAGGAGCTTCTGGGAAAGATTTGCGTCAATTTTCAACCCGGTTTCTGGCTCAGCGTGCCAAAATTCGATGACAGTTCGCGCACTGTCCAAACATATCATCCACAAACCGAAAGGGTTTCCAGCAACCCGCATGCCGAGTGACCGACTTGAACTCTGACAGACTACGTGGGTGGTGATCGATACTTCATGTCAAACTGAGGCCGGTGAGGTTTATTTCAAACAACGATGCAGGCATGCTCTGCGCGGCGCTTGCTCGCTGAACCTCGCTGAGAGCGACCTCTTGGACACGATGCCGCACTGAAAGACGAGATATTTGGTAACATTAATGATTATGATAGATGAGATCCTAATACAAGAACTTCGCCACGTGATCAGTGCTGCATCCTTTGCTCTGAGTTGGAAGGTTTAAAGTGCCTTTTGGTCTGCTTCAAACGGGCTGCAGGTATAATTAGTTATTGGAAAGGACGCTGAGTGTGTTTGGTGATGCTTTACGGCAGCTGAGTAGCATAATCCCTTAAAACCATTAGCACCACGGGGCCCGAATTCTTTGCATTCCAACTTCGAGTCTTGGAAGGCGGCATGGAGGCAAACTTGACGGCATCCAAGCCAGGCTCAGTCTATTGGATCTGAATGCCCCGCATCGGAAAATGCGCTGATCATTCTAGCAAAGCACAGCACACGATCACTCACTTAGCCCGCGCGGTCGGTCGGTCGGTCGGTCGGTTCTAACCCAACGAGTTCGTCCGCGTGGTGAAGACAAAAGCCCTGCATTAACAAGCGGCTGCACCTCATGAGCGACGCCTCGATCCGCCGCCGAGACGGGGGTCCGGCCGGCTCGCCGCACTAACGCGCCAGGCGCAGCCACTGTGCCGGAGCGCTCCGACTGCCGTCGGGACGGAGGCCCGGCCTCGGCGGGCGCTGCGGCGGAGCCCGATACGTCAGAGCGGAGGCGGGCGTGGCGGCTCGGCCAGCAGCCGACATGACGCCCTGTTAGCCGGACCGGCCGCCGAAGAGCGCACAGACAGACTGGCAGCGACCTCGGCGCGCAGAAAAAAACGCGGCGCCTCTCTGCGAGCCTCTATCCCCGTCGTGTCGATCCTGCGTAATGGATACCTCCACATCGTTCGAACCAAGTAATCAGCGGTCGGCATTGATCGGTAAACACAGGGTATCTAACAATCATCGGAAAATATTGTTATTAACACACCCGATGGTGTTGCCCTCGTGATTTGAAGTGATTTGTGCCCGTGCTACGTCGTCAGTGTTTCGTAGTATGCCTACTGCACGTCAGAGATCGAGTATTCGCTTGGCGAAAAGCGAGAAACGCGAATTCTCCCTTGCGGACGCCTGCAGTTGTTGAGTGCGGCCTTTGGTGAGCTGTCTTTTCTGGCCTGTCATCCTGACAGTTGACTGACACTTGGTGCGACAGCGATACGACATTGACGGCGACCATTATGAACTAAACGGCTCAACGTTGACCAGCACCAGCTGCCACTGTGTCAGTTACCACCGGCAACCGGTGACAGCTGACACAGGTGACCAGCGACAGCTGGCCAATGTGACAGTGACGAGCAATCTTGACAGATGATCGATGTGACGCATATAGATGTTATAGATCGCGAGCGTCATGCTGATACTCTATGCTGGCAGATAGCCAACGTGATGTTGACGTTCGCAGGCAATCGGTGTGGCGCTTGTGTCGACAGATGATCAGTGTGGCACCGATGTTGTCAGGTGACCAGTGTGGTTGCGGTGTTGACAGGTTACCAGAGTGATACCGATTGAGACAGGTGGTCAGTGGGATACAGATGTTGACAAGGGCAAATTTCATGCCGGTGTTGACAGGTCACCAATGTGATGCATGCCGGTGTTGACAGGTGACCATGTGTTGACAGGTGACCAGTGCGATGTCGATGTTGACAGGTGACCAGTGTGATGCCAGTGTCGACAGGTGGCCAGTGTGATGCCGGTGTTGGCAGGTGACCAGTATGATGCCGGTGTTCGCAGGTGACCGGTACGATGCCGGTGTTGACAGGTGACAAATGTGATGCCGGTGTTGACAGGTGACCAGTGTGATGCTGACGGACCGGCGCCTTCCGCCCATAAAGGAGTCACAGCGTGAGCCGTCTCCGCAGTCTTCCAGACGTCCCAGCTCCCCGTCGCCCTCGTCTCGGTCGGCGCCGGTCAGGTGAGCGCGGTCAGCAGGCTCAGTGTCAGAACGCAGGGGTAGCAGAATAAACAATGCTGAAAGGTGGTGGCAGTGAAACAGAAAGGTGGTGGCAGTGGCGGTGAGATGCAATGGGAAGGGGAAGTACTGTTCAGTTGCGCGGTGGAGCTGTGGAACTGGGAAATTGAAAATCAGTTCATTGGTGCCATCTGCCTGGCGACGAGAAGAACGTGTGGATGCCTGCAAATTTATAGACCTCGGTGAATGCTGGCAGCGCCACATGTAATGCCCAACGCTCCTGAGCATCAAAGCTTGCATTGGTCAAAAAGTTTGCACCGACGTCATGTTCGTTCATGGCTGCAACACACGGAGCAGCAGGCATACGACGAGAGTATGTCAACATGAGGAAGCAGAGAGTCCAGTAACGTTATAAAATGTCACAAAGCTGGCGGCGTGCTCGAAGCTGACGCTGGCCGTTCTGCCTCCTTTTCATCTCAAACACTAATGATATGTCAGCGAAATTTTCCTGACATCAATTAGCCCGGTGGATTAACCTGACGGGTGGCCTAATGGATAATCACGCGAGCTAATACGCTGTCTCGGAATTTTGGTCGCGCGACTGCCTTATTCCGAGAGTCAGCAGTTCCGGCTTGCCGATGTCCACTCGGAGAGGCCCGTGATGGAGTCGGGACGGGCCGCGGCCGATCCGAGAGAGCTTCAGCCCAGTGGGCACGGGGAACCACCCCGGTGCCGGCCACTTAAACCGAACGGTCCCGTTGCTACTGACCACTTCCCCATTGTTTGACCGGCTCTATATCTCCGGGTAGTCGAGCGAACGACGGCGGCGGCGGCCAGCTGCTCCGCCCAGATGGAAATGTCAGCCGTCCTACCTCCGGGCGGGGTCGAATGGGCCAGAGAAAATGGCGACCGCGCGACGTCTCGGCCCTGCGGCGATAAAGGCCACAGTCGCAGACGGTCAGGTCGGATGTGATAGCACGGCGATCTCCCCGGTGGACTGAAAAACCATTCTTGACGATACCCTGCTTCCATCAGTTTATCCGAGCGGCGCGTAACAAGCCTATGGACGTTTGCTTTCCCGGACGTGGTACCTGGGGTCGGGGATTGCTGTGGTAGTGGCACGTGCTGGATTATATAATGCCACAGGGGTCAACATCGTTACTGACACACACACACACATTAGGTCTCTCAGGCTTTAGGGCTGCGTTGGCAGAAGCTCTTATTTGCAACCTTGACTATGGTTCTATGTGCGTATGTAGGACTACGTTGATCCGTTAAAAAGATACATTCACTGTGTTCGGTTGCGAGAATGGTGCCCCTGCCCCAAAATATGGGCAGGGTGGGTGAGACGGTTTGTAACAAAAAACGAGCAAAACACAGGTGTGCTTCATCCAGATGGATCGCACAAGTACGCTGTGACAAACCATGGGAGTAGTTATAACATCGTCTTCTTACCCTCGGTATGCAAGGAGATCGGACGACAATCTTAGTACTGTTCTCTCTATTTTATGCGACAGTGTAACCGACAATCATCAACATATACAACATACGTATGTACACGCCAACTGCGCGGCAGGGAGATGGTTACATCTCCTTACGTCAACCCTTAGCATATCCCGAACAAAGTCGAGATGGCCTCCAGGAGGTGACACCAGCCTTCACCAAGTGCGTCAGTACACCGAACAGGCCAGCGACTGGGGGAACTGCCGCGGAAACCGCCGGTGCCGTGCGCTAGTGTCGCAGGGCACGTGTGTGTGGTGTTGGGGCTTCATGACGCGTTCAGCTGCTGCCGGCGCTTGCCTCTCACCCTGGCAGGAAGAGCGGGCACCGCAGGGAATCGAGCCCCTGCTCTGGTTCCCCAGGCTGACTGAGTCAGATTTCTTCTGGTTTCCTAGACTCGCAGCTTAACCGCTACACTATCGGCACCCGCTGAGGCAGGGCACGACGGCTGCGTTGGGCCCCGGGCGGTGGCGGTATCTTCACCTTGTCCCCAGCCGGGGCCCGTGGCCCGAGCCAATCGGCTCTTGAACGGCGATCTCCAGCTTGACGACCGTCTGAGAGCGGGCCCGTGGAGAGCGGTCGTTTGTGTTGTCGCTACGCTGGCGCGGACGACTCTGCTGAGACGGAGGCCACCTTCGGCTCCGCTGTCGACGACCGCTGCCACCCGAGAGGCCGGCTCCGGCTCGAACACGCGGCGTGCGCCAATCTCATTTGCTTAAAAGCATTCCACGCGACACGGTTATCGCTTCCGTACGGAGCAAACTGATAGCTGACACTCCCGCACGGAGCAAGCCGACATTTACTGATTTCTGTCGTACGACATGGTAAGTGCAATTACGCCGCGTACCTGTTTTGGGCAACGTTACATGCCAAAGTAGACCTTTTTGTGTAGTTTTGTCACACTCTTGATTTCGCTCGTGCTTGCCACGCGTGCGCCGTGCGACGCCGCCTGAGCACACCGCCCGCCGTAATTGTTTTTCCGTTGCCGCGCGGTCTAGATGCAAGAGTAATGCAGGCACGGGTCTCGGCCGTGCCGCGCGTCGCGGGGGACGGCCACCCCGGGGGACGCACGTCTAATATACCCGTGTTCGTCGACAGGTCAATAAAGCCGGCGACGTCGGCGGTGCGGCGTCTGGTGCCGGGGCGGCTGGGCGGGCCGCGCCGCCGCGCCCCCATCGCCGACGGCGAGACGGACCGGCTCCTGCCGGCCGAGGCCACCAGCCAGCCCTGAGGCGGCGCTCACCGCCCAGCAATAACGCGGCAGTCGCTTCTGCAGCGCGGCGGGTCTGGTAGGATAGGCTGTTGTCGGCGGTAGGCCGGGTAGCGTAGCGGCGCGCCTGGGCCGGTCAGATATACCTATACATATATCGTGCTCAAGGCTGACGGAGGGCGGCCGGCGCCCCGTGCTCGCCGCAGGGCCGGCCGGGTCAGCGGCGCGCGGCCCGGGTCACGACAGTCCTCAGTGCTCGCCGCTCTGGCGTCGCGGCCAGGAGGGCTCCGTCGCCGCCCGCAGGCAGATCTCGCGGCGGTGACGTCAGGGAGGAGCGCGTGCGGCGAGCGCCGCCGGCCCGGCCGCCAGCGTGCACACGGGCTGGGCCGAAGGTGCGGCGACGGCGGCGGGCGCCGGGAGCGGCGCGGGCCCGACTGTGGGCGGGACGAGCTCGAGCGGCGATCAGTCGTCAGGGAGGAGTACGTGCGGCGAGCGCCGGCGGCCCGACCGCCAGCGGGAGGCGTGCACACGAGCTGGGCCGGAGGTGCGGCGACGGCGGCGGGCGCCGGGAGCGGCGTGGGCCCCGACCGTGGGCGGGACGAGCTCGAGCGGCGATCAGTCGTCAGGGAGGAGCGCGTGCGGCGAGCGCCGCCGGCCCGGCCGCCTGCGGGAGGCGTGCACACGAGCTGGGCCGGAGGTGCGGCGACGGCGGCAGGCGCCGGGAGCGGCGTGGGCCCCGACCGTGGGCGGGACAGGCTCGAGCGGCGATCAGTCGCCGTCGACCGATCAATGCCCGCCGATCGGAGCCCATTCGGTCAGCCGGCGGCGGCACCGCTCGTCATCCGGCGGCGTCCGACCATCCGCCCAGTCAGCGGCTCTGGAGGCGGCGGCGGTCCGGTCGCGCCCCGCTCCGAGCAGGATCCCGGGCCGGCTCCACTCTGTCCTCGATGTCACCCAGTCCCCGGCGTCCTGCTCTCCTCCACTTCTAAGACTAGCGCAGGTGCAGGCATGTCAAAAAAGCTTACCTTTGGCTGCGTTTTGACGGTAGCCCACCCGCTCACCTGACTCCGAATATCTGACGTTGAAACCCCACTGTCTGGTGTCAGGTGTTCAACATCTTGTGCCCCAGAGCCATAAGGTGAGTCCTCTCCATTCCCCTGCCGCAAGCGTCCGACGCCGACCCACGCGTTGGCACAAGTCTTCGATCCATCGATTCCGGTCCTGATATATCCCACTTCAACGCGGTCCTCTCCCGAATTCGATCCTGGTCGCTGTCTCTGTATGCAAGGATAATTTTGCTCGCTGATTCCACGTTAGCTCACACTTGTAGTCAGTCTTTCGCGAACCGAAAAAGTCAAGGATGGGAAATTGTTGACCAGGTCAAAAACTAGGCGAGTTCATAGATAATAAAGTAGCAATGGCCTTATTCCTTGGCAAAAATCGGAAAAATGGAGATATAGATGCATTGATATTTCGGCAACATGCCCCTATTGAAGCGAATAGCAGCAGTCATTTGTCACCTCTGCTCACCAAGTCACTTCTGCTCTTCGCTTCGATGACGGCATGTTGCCGAAACATCAACGCATCTATATCTCCGCTCTCCTGGTTTTTCTCCGCTGATTGAGGCTATCACTACTGTCTTATCTGTTTGCATAGTGTTCCTCACAAATGCACTTACGTAACTGAAAATATGCGGGTTTACTTTAGAGGGGGAATATGCTGGTTACCCTACTTTTCCTGAAGAGGTACATCCATGATGTTCCGAGCCGGGGCTTATCATGATGACCCCTCTCCTGGTAAATGGAAGGTGGAATCCGAGCACAAGTCTGCATCCAAGTGACCCACGCCAGCCCTGCCATCCATAAATATCTGGTGTCAGATTGTCGTGTATCCTCTTCCCCACGTCGTCGGCTCTGTTCCCATGCCCTGCGGGGTCCAGTCTCGTCGCCACATCTCCGAGGTCGACTTTCATCCTGACCCGACCCAGAGCTGGGCTCCGGCCCCGACCCGACCCAGAGCCGGGCACCGGCCTTGACCCGACCCAGGGCTGGGCTCCGGCCCTGACCCGATCCAGAGCTGGGCTCCGGCCCCGACCCGACCCAGAGCTGGGCACCGGCCTGACCCGACCCAGAGCTGGACCCCGGTCCTGACCCGACCCAGAGCTGAACCCCGGTCCTGACCCGACACAGAGCTGGACCCCGGCCCGGACGCGCCCGTGACGTCAGACTCCGCCGCCGCCGTCTCCGGGCCGGCCCCTGCGCGACCGGGCGGCACCCCGAGTCCCAGAATCAGCCGTCGAGGTGTAGAGAACCGAGTCCCGCTCGCGCCACTAGAGCAGAGCGTAGCAGACCCAGACCCGCCCCTAGGGGTCACTCCGACCAGTGCCAAATGCTATTTTGTATGAGCAGCTGAGTTCCGACCAGGGCCGTGCAGACCGGGTCGAGTCCGCCGCGGAGCGGGTGAGTGTCGGTGTGGCCCGCTGGTCTGCTGGTCTGGTCCGAACTGGTAGGCGGCGTGTGTGCGGGGGTAGCTCGGTGGACCGGATCCGATAGCTCGGCGGCGAAGGCCCCGTTAAGTACACCAGCGTTAGCCGCTGGCGGTGGCCGGCTAGCGGCAGAGGCTAGCGACCAGGGCTCGTTGACGCCGGCGGGCGCCGCCGGCCCCGGCCGGTATAGATCTCGGCGGGGTCGGCGGGGGCGGCCCCAATCAAAACTGCGTCGGGCTCGACGGGCCGGCCGAGACGGCTCCGCGCGCCGTCCGCCCCAGCTGACCCGAACGCCCGTGTGGTGATGAGTAGTTCGGTGTACAAATTAGCGGTAATACAGAGTATCGACATGTGTGAATGCGTGTTTGTGAACCAGCACATACATTTAAAACAAACGTGTTGAGAGGGCACGCACGTCATGGCCGCTCATGATCCCTATTTTCGTCCGTTACTACTACCGCACTTCCAAAATGTTTGGAAAGCACCTCCACCTCATTTTCGTGGTAGTCCTAGGATTTTACGCGCTGATCGGCGCAATTTCCCTCAAATCGCTAGCGCCTTTCCCACAGACATGAATTTTGACCCAATTCGCTGGAGGCACGGTGACGCAGACACCGCGAACCGAGCGCCGGCCGACCGTATCGTTCCATCGGTAGTTGGGCGCCCGGCCGCGACGGTCGATGGCTGGGCTTCTGACTGCGCCGCCATACCCACCGTGGCGCGCGGCCGCCAACCCTGAGTCCCCGCCGCCATTGCTCTCGGCGGCCTCCCTCCTCCTCTCCCGCACCGCTCCCTCAACACGCGGCAACAATAAACGCCCACTCTGATTAGCCCTGTATTGCGACTAATGCACGTGCACACGCCAACTGGCCATCAGCGGTCTGTAACAAAAAGGCATCGCTCGCGGAAAAGGAAGCCCTTGAGGGGTCTGACCGAGTGGCATCCGGCCGGCAGATCCCCGCTCACCGACTGAGTCAGCGGCCCCGGCTGAAAAGCCGTCGGGGCCGCTGGCCGTCGGTGACACGGCGCCGGTGACGGACTGGCGTTGGCCGTGGCGGCCGTCGGTGACCGAATGGCGCTGACCGTGGCGGCCGTCGGTGACACGGCGCCGGTGACCGCCTGGCGCTGGCCGTGACGGCCGTCGGTGACACGATGTCGGTGACCGGCTGACGCTGGCCACGGCGGCCGTCGGTGACCAGCGTCGGTGACCGGCGTCAGTGACCGGCTGACGCTGGTCGTAGCGGCCATCGGTGACATGGCGTCGGTGACCGGTTGGCGCTGGTCGTGGCGGCCGTCGGTGACCGGCGTCGGTGACCGGCTGGCGCTGGTCGTGGCGGCCGTCGGTGGCCGGCTGGCGCTGGCCGTCGGTGACACGGCGATGCCAGCCGACACGTGTCGACATGGCGTGGCGCTGGGTTTTCAGCTCACGACGGCAGCACAAGCGACGGATGTCTTGTTCACACGCGGGTCAACAACTGAGGTTCGCAGTGATAACACGGGGCACCGAAAACGCAAAGTATGTCGCGAATCGCGCTTATACACGAAATAAATATGCCTCAACAAACTTTGGCAAATACTTGCAAGCCCAGCACAAGCAACAGTAGAGTGGTAGCACACGAGAACCCTAGGGTATCACCGGAGCGAGGCCTCACAGAGGCCCCGACCTCGTCTGACGCCATCACCGGATGGCCCTCTCCCAGCACGGCCGAACCCGTAACCCCGGCGGAGCCAGGAAGTCCCGGTAACACCAGCTTGACCGTGAGATGAGTGCCACCTGCCGCTGCGTCGTCCCCGGCAGGTGTCTTTACCGAACATCAGCAGCAGGACTGCCTGACAAACTGAACCCATGGCCGTGTGACGATTACACGCGTCATTTGCAAGCGTGTTAATAGCTTTACCCGACAACATGGCACGAGTATGGGTGAAGCAGCAGCGGTCAATCGTCAAACTAGTGCAATATCTGCTAACGGAAGATAGCTGACTGAAGCGGCCCAGCGCCACAACATAGGCTTAAAGCTTGACAAGCCCCACCCGCGATGCTTGCCCAGGAAGCGTTTCAGACGTGACTCTGTGGGGTGGGCTCTTCTCATGGCGACGTGGGGTGACTGGAGCTTCGAATCACTAGGAAGCCGACGAAACGCCAACAAAACATCGGCGCCCGCGCGCTCGGTACGGGACACCACGGCGCCCGCGTCAGCAGCGAAGCACGTGCTTGGGGAGGACGCGGCCAGGGCGGCCATCGAGCCTCAAGCTCGGTGACCATTCGGTTACAGCCTGACAAAAATATCGTCAAAAGACGTACATATCGTCTCACTAAGGCATGCCGGTTCGGTTACCACTTCTACGATACTTAAACACCGCATCCGTCCGGCAGGGATACATATAAAAGCCTCTACAAACTCACAGCGACCACTGTCACAGCGGAATACAGAACACTCTTACAATCTTGCATGATATACGCCCTCAAAAGTGGCCGCTGGCTGAAAGACCCCCTAGAGCGCGTGTGCTGCCGGCTGGGCCGCTGGTGAGCCGGCAGAGCGGCGGTCCCGGCCGGGGTCCGGCCGAGGTCCGGCCGGGGTCCGGCCGCGGTCCGTCCGGGTCCGGCCAGGGTCCGGCCGGGATCCTTCCGGGTCCGGCCGCGGTCCGTCCGCGGTCCCTCCGGGTCCGGCCAGGGTCCGGCCGCGGCCCGTCCGGGGTCCGGCCGGGGTCCGGTCACGGTCAGCGGTCCAGCAGGCCGTCCCAGCGGCAGCGCACGTAGCGCGCGCCACTCAGGCACACCTCGCGCATGTGGTGGGAGATCGAGCCCACCGTCAGCTCCACCTGCCGGCGGACGGGCGGCCGTCGGCTCAGAGCGCCGCCACTGCCATCTGTTGGCGGCGCTGCACACGCCCGCGGTGTTTGTGGACTACGATAGGTCAACAGTTGTCGGCAAAGTGAGACCTGTTTAGCGACGGGCAACACAGAATTGAATCACATCATATAATCTGACTTTTAGTTCGCTTTTTGATTGGCTTTATGACTTTGATGATGATGATGAACTTATGACTCTGCCTTGCAATATTGCACGTACCCTGTGGGAGAACATAAGCATAATGTTAAAAGGCAAAATAATACAGGCATCCAGGTAAACAGAAATGAATGCATCGCGTCATGCTGATGCACAACACATGCTATGGGTCAAGGGCAATAGGAAAACATTTGGGTCTATGAGGAGTGTATCCAAACGATCAGTACAGGCTGTTCGGGTGCTTGTGCGCAAACAAGAAGAAAAACAACACAAGAAAAACGGAATTATAGTTATGTTTTGGTGTTGCCCGTCCATAATTCACACCGATACAAAACTGCGCATAACACCAAATAATTAAGCTGGATGCATCTGAAAGTACTTAGACGTTCTATCCTGCCACAAAAAACCGCGAAGTGTTGCACGTCATTGTTTCCGAAAATACGCGACCGATCTGCATGCAACCGATCCAACCGATCAAGACTATTTCGGAGCGGTACGGAGCGGATATGCGTTTTCAAATGCGTTCAGCACGCTGCCGGCGACAGAAGGCAACGTCCAGCACGCTGCCAGCGGCAGACGGCAACGAAATCGTCGCTGGCGGCGGGGTCACACCGCAGCCCCACACCGCACGTACCAGCCATTGTTTCAGAGACCTAGGGCAGCACGAAAACACCGACAGAGCCTTATTGAAGCCGCGATGACAAACGATCACACGACAAAGTTTGGCTGCACATCTGTAATGGAGACCCGAAATATCGTCCGCCGGTAATGGTTTGATCCCGACCGTTATTTGTTGAAAGTTGGCGGGCAGCAGACTTTCCGCGCGGGAAGTGCTTCCGCGGAATCGGAGCCGGGCGACCAGACTGTAAAGCGGCGGACGTCCCACCTGGCCGTGCTGTCCGACAGGTCTGCAGGAGCGCGGCGATGAAGGCGCGCTGCTCAGCCGTGGTGACGAAGTAGAGCCGCCACGAGCCCGTCGACTCCAGCGCCTCCGCCGTGCTGAACTCCTGAGGAGCGACCGCCGCGGTCAGCACGGAACGGACCGCGCCCTGGCCGGTGTCGGGCCGGCCGTCACGTGTCACCGGACATGTGTCCACCAGACGCCAGCATGTCACCAGACGCCGGATGCTGGGCGGCATCAAGCACGACGCGCGTCCTGGCTGGGCAGTCAGAACAGCACGTCCCCGGACGGAGGAAGGGCGGGGGGCGGAATATGTTCCGCGTAAGATCTCCGCTCCCGTGCGGCAATTAAGTATCGGAGGATGACGTCTTGAGCGCCCGCTCACCACAGTCACAGGTTAAGTAACTAGGGCCGAAGAGGTCACCAATCGAAGTCTATGTCAGCAAATCATCACAACCGACATATCCAATACCAAAGGCACATTCACACGGACCAGTGATGAACAGCTACCCAAGCAATTCATGAAACACACGCAATTCTGCAATCGACTAATTAATTTACGAGAGGCCAAATGACATCAACTTGAGCCCTAGCTAACGACAAATGAAATTTGCGGTGATTCGGACAAATATATGCCACCGATTTTCGAATTGGCCAGGTGCACTCACATTCATTCCATTACTGCGCACAGTCAAGAAAGGCAGAGCCCCACGCAGCCTGATGGCAGCCATTACCAATTAACGTTGTTTTATGACCAAAACATTTAATCTGCCAGGAGCATTGATTTCCTGGCGCGCTATGCTGGGTCCGGCTGGGTCGGGCTGCGAACGACCTGCCACAAAGTGGTTTTCGCGCACGACGCACTTTGCACACATACTGATCGTTTTTTGGTTATGTACACACATTACATATATATATATATATATATATATATATATATATATACACATATATACATATATATATATATATATACATATATATATATATATATATATATATATATATCATACGCATCATTATCTCCGAAGGTACGCGTGGAGTCAATTGACTAACTCAATTCTATTCGAACGAATTTTTCCAGGCATTTTTCAAGGCATGCGAAATCGCAAGCATGTAGACTATTCACAATACGGGTTATGTTAACGTATCCATCCGGTCCCGCTCGCCTCGCCCGAGTGGCGGGGCTGGGTTTCAGTGGAATGGCGACTACGTGGCGGAATGGGGCCTGAGGCAGAACTGAGTGTGTGAGTGGGGGAGGGGGGAGGGGGAAGGGGTTACTGACCAAACATTTCTAAGAATAACGTCGAAAGTAAACATTGCCTCACAAAAACATGCCATCATTCGACGGTACTTTTGCTACACAGCGAAGGTTCTTTCGTCGGTGCGATCGGTCGGCGTCTGCTCTCAACGAATGTTCAGACTGCCAAGTTGTTACTGAAAAAGGCTACAAGCCGATTTTGCCAGCTTTTGTTATCGACGCTTCACTCTCTTGCCAGCAAACACATTAAAAAGTTCGAATCTTTTGGTTTCGCGCTACCCGGAAGAAGAGCTGGATGGGGCGTGCTCTGTCCTGCCCGCGTTGCGCACACCAAGTAAAAGACGAGCGCTATACACCTCCACAGCGCAGGTCCCTGGAGGACAGTGCCTCTAAACGCTCCCCCTCACCACATACACCAGGCGGGGACAGCCCCGCCACCGGCTCTCACCAGGTGCACGGCGCCGTGCGAGTCGGCGTTGACCGCCTCCAGGCAGTCGAGCTGGCCGCTGGCCTGCACCAGGTGGCCGTACGGGCAGAACTCGAAGCCGGGCGCGAGCGCGCGGCTGAAGGCCATCTCCTCCACCACGTACAGCGCTCGCTCAGTGAGCACCACACAGCGCGGCAGCGGGCTGGGCAGCTGCGCCGGCACCTGAGGCGTCAGGAGGGTGTCAGGAGGGCGTCAGGCGGACGTCAGGCGGACGTCAGGCGGGCATCAGGCGGTCAGCAGGCGGGCGTCAGGTGGGCGTCAGGAGGACGTCAGGTGGGCGTCGGGAGGACGTCAAGAGAGCGTCAGGAGGGCGGCAGGAGGGCATTAGGAGGACGTCAGGAGGGCGTCGGGCGGACGTCAGGCGGACATTAGGCGGCCAGCAGGCGGGCATCAGGTGGGCGTCAGGAAAACGTCAGGAGAGCGTCAGAAGGACGTCAGGTGGGCGTTAGAAGCGCGTCAGGACGGCGTCAGGAGGACGTCAGGCGGGCGTCAGGCAGGCGTCAGGAGGACGTCAGGCGGCGGTCAGGCGAGGGAACAGTTGACTGGTCCACACACAGATCGGTTTGATCGTACGGGTCGTACCACCCCCGCGGTGCAGACAGAATCCAGACAGCGACGTAGATTACCACTGGTACATACAGTCCACGCCGGGTGAAGCGCAGGCTCACCCACAGGAAGTGTCCTCCTCGAGACCGGGGAGAGCATTGCTGCAGATGTACCCAGCATCCCAACAGGACAGCGCGAGCACAGGCTGAATGCCCCGGCTGAATGCCAGAACAACCAACTGTGCATGTGGTGGCAGACAGCAAGGTCTTCGATACAGCTGCGCCTACGACGCGGCAGTTCGGCAGTGTGCAGACGTCTGAACACGACGAACGCTCAGGGAAGTTCCGGGTGTGCTGTGAACCAACGGACTGGCTAGAGGCCGAGGCTCTCCGCAGAGCGATACAGCGCCGGAGGGATGGACCCCACCGCCCAGCATCAGTCACAAGCCGGCCGGCCGGCCAGCAGACAGGACGCTCAGGCGACCCCCACGCAGCCCCGGAGACCCGCCACTCACGGACAGCTCCATGATCTCGCGGATGACGCGCGCCCAGCGGGCGCAGGTGCGCTGGTCGGCGGCGGCCAGCGTGAGCGCGCGGCCCGGCGCCAGCAGCTGCAGCTGGTGCGGCCGGTGCAGCGCCGTCAGCCGGCGACAGGCGGAGAGCGCCGGCAACGGCCAGCGCTCCAGCGGCGGCCCGCCGGCGCCAGCCGCCGCCGCGCCAGGGTACAGCAGCAGGTCCGTGTCCCTGGCGGCGGCGGGGTCGGGTCACAGCGCCCTGCTCAGCGCGCCACAGGCCGGCTCCGCCGCCGGCGCCAGCCTGACTGTTCACTCAGCGGACGGTAGATGGCACAAAGTCACTGGCGACCGACTACGGAAGCGCTGCACCGACTGGCGACCACACGACGACGTTCAGTGGAATGTGCTGTCCGCGGCAAATTATAAGACACCCCGAGCGAGGGGAGACACTGCCTTGTCATCCAAACATGAGCCAAATGGCCACGTGTTTCGACTACAGTGGTTGCTATAACTCATGGAGCGCCATGTTTGCTCGAAGTGTCGTTTTCCTGCCAGCCGCGGCTGCAAGCACAAAATCGGAATGCACTGGGAAAATGTACTGGGTGAAGTGGGATGTAGAACTCAATATCCCTTGAGAGCGGAAATATTTGGCGGCGGATCAAACAGAAGCCTGTTCGGCATGACCCACCACAACACAAAGTGGCCGACGCTCCATTTCTTATCGGCGTCGGCCTTGTACATGAGCTGAGCGGCGAGTTTTGGCAGCTCTCCGGAAACGGCAAAGTCCTCGAAGTACACCAGGGAAGCGTACTTTATCTCCGGCTGAAACGGGGCACGTCGTGTGATGAAACTCGAAAGCAGCTCACGTGCGCAAGGAGCGTCAAACACACCAGCTGTTGAAAATGGGCCACGTTTAGAGAACATTAAAACGGGAAAAACAGTCATCTGATGTACGGATGACAACAGCGCATGAAGCAGCGTTCGTTTGTCATAACCTCACTGACGATCTTAGTCACCTAGCAGAAGTTACTAGTTCCGGAGAATGCTCACCATTGATGTTGATAATTTGGGTCTTAGAGCGCGCTGACTGCGTGGGTCATATGACACCCATACCCATGGCACATGTGGAGTTCAAACAGTGTCAGCCTCGACGCATGGCCCTTCGCGCTTCAGCTAAGACCTCACGCCTGGCAGACACGGCGCGAGCGTCAACTAGGGCCGCACCACTCCACCCTACCCCGCCGGCCCCTCGGCCCGAAGCCCTGTAGACTTCTCGGTCCGCATCCCCGCCGGCCGGCCTCTCATCCCGAAGTCACGTCGGCCTCTCTGTCCGGAGCCCCGCCGGCCTTTCGGCCCGGAGCCTCACCGGCCTTTCTGCCTGGAGCCCCGCCGGCCTTTCTGCCCGGAGCCCCGCCGGCCTCTCTGCCCAGAGCCCCGCCGGCCTCTCTGCCCGGAGCCCCGCCGGCCTCTCGGCCCGGAGCCCAGCCCACCTCTCCGCCCGGAGCCTCACCGGCCTCTCTGTTCGGAGCCCCGCCGGTCTCTCTGTCCGGAGCCCCGGTGGCTCCTCGGCCCGGAGCCCCGCCCACCTCTCCGCCCGCCCCGCTGACCACCACCGTCCACACCGGCTGCTTCACCGACCTCGGTCTCCCGGTAGCTGATCTCGCGCGCGTACTGGTGCCGGTGCGCCTCGGACGTGTACACCTGCGGCACGAGCGGCCGCGGCGGGCTGCGCTCGAACGCCCGCGTCAGGTGGCTAACAAAGAGCGACGTCTGCGCTCGGTCGGCCAGCCAGATCCAGCGGCTGTACGAGCCGTCCGGTCGCTGCAGGGCCGCCGCCTGGCCGTGGAACGCCAGCTGAAACACGCCGTCGCACACGGTCAGCCCTAGTCAGTCATCGGACATGCGGCACGTCTGGGGGCACGGACGCGACGCGGCCGGCTGGGGACACGAACTCAGCGCGGCTGGCTGGGGACACGGACACGGCGCGGCCGGCTGGGGACGCGGACACGGCGCGGCCGGCTGGGGACACGGACACGGCATGGCCGGCTGGGGACACGAACTCAGCGCGGCCGGCTGGGGACACGGACACGGCGCGGCCGGCTGGGGACACGGACGCGACGCGGCCGGTTGGGGACACGAACTCAGCGCGGCCGGCTGGGGACGCGGACACGGCGCGGCCGGCTGGGGACACGGGCACGGCGCGACCGGTTGGGGACACGGGCAAGGCGCGACCGGCTGGGGAGCAGGCCGGCGCCAGCCACGCGGTCCACGTGAGCCCGACACACATCACATCTGAGTCAGGGGCAGCTCGCACTGTGGAGATCACGTGTCTGACATGGGGTGCCCTGGGGGCAGGTCACGTGGATAATATGCCATGCCGTCGACGAGTTCGTGTTGGTCAGTCAGGTGTCATATGGAGGCTAATAATAACAATCAAACCATGTAGGCCATGCATATTCACCACACGAAGCTCATGTAGACTGTACACAGTCTCCTTGGCGTGGTTATGCAAATGACACCCGACGTCGTCCCGCAAGCGACACTCCAGCGCCGTGGGAGATCGCGGAAGTCAAACCCAACGCCACGACGCAGGACGTACGGGGCAGCCGGCAGCCCCACCTTGACGGAGGCTATGGAGTCGTAGGCGAAGGCCGAGTCCTGCAGGTAGGGGCAGGCGGGCTGGTCGGCGTCCGCGTCCGCACGGCGACCGGCGGCGCGCCGCAGCCGCCGGTACCCGCTCTGACGCAGTAGCAGCACCCGGTACGAGGTGAGCACCAGCAGGCACGGCCGCATCGCGTGATGGTCCCCAAACAGCACCTTGAAGCCCTGCGGAGCCCGCGCGGCGTCCGAGTCAGACGGACACGGACGGACGGTGGGTCGGGCTAGAGCCATCCCCGTGCGCCTCCACGCGGGACGGCAGCGGCGCCAGTGCGCTGGCCCCCAGGCGTTGCTGATACTCAACCGATTTTGTGATCCGTCACAGCCGCTGCGATGGCAATGTGGCTGGGCTGTTTGGCTTCAAGTTATCAAAACTTCCTCGTGCGTTACCAACCAATCTCCCTTACGCCCGTGACGACTAATAGGCGCTTTCCATGTCATGTGTGGGCATTTAATCAACAAGACATTCGAGCGAATAGTTTTCTGCTCCGCGGATCACCAAGTCACCTGATACGGACCATGCATGGAAAAGCATGCCTCAACGCACGCTCACAGCCGACCCAAGCCCCAACGCACCATCCCTGAGCGGACCCAGGCCCCACCGCACCATGCACAGAGCGGACCCAGGCCTCACCTGGATCGCCATCTCATCACCGTCGAAGAAGCCGACCATGAGCTGGACGGCGCGACAGTGGTCGATCTCCACCAAGGCCGAGAAGGCGGCGCGCTTGCTGCGCTGGCCACGGCGCACCTCCTCCTGCAGCTGCCGCTCCGTGTCAGCGTCCGGCGGCGGCGCCGAGCCCAGCGCCGCCGGCTCGTACTAGCCGAGAGCGGCGGGCGGCCGGTCGGCCGCGCGCCGAGCCGGCCGACACGCAGCTGCTGGTGACGCTCAGCTCGGAGGGAACGCGCGCCAGGCAGGCGGTGGACGGCTGCCGCGGCGGCCCCTCGGCGCCGTCCGGGGCGGCGCGCCGGCCCAGCGGCGGCAGCAGCGCCGCCACGGCCGCCGTCTCGCGGTCCGTGCCCGCCCACGTGACGCGCTTGTCGGGCTGGCCGCCACCGCCGCCGCCGCCGCGCGGCCGCCGGCGCAGTGAGGCCTCCGATGAGGAGCCGGCCAGGCGCGCCCGAGTCGCCAGAGGACGCAGCGCCACGTCCACAGCGCTGCCGCAGCCGCCAGAGAGATGAGGCAGCGGCGGCGGCGGCTCGGCGGGCGCCGGCCGCCGGGGGGTCGCCTCACCACGGCTGGGCTCAGAGACAGCTGCCAGGCTGCTGACGGCTTCCGTCTCGGCCTGTCGCGCTCTTCCCAGAGACGCGTGCTCGCCGTCGGCGCGCGCCGAATGACCCAGGCTCCGGGAGAAATCCTGCTCGCAGTGACGGGAGTCCTCCGGCCGATCGCTTCACCTCCTCTCCCGCCTCACCGCTCTGCTGCTGATGCCCTGCCGCCGTTGTGATGTCATCGGATGGCCTTTCTGGAGGCATCGGCTGAGAGCCCGCGGCCTCCAAAACCATGTCTTGTTGCGTTTCTGAACTCGGCCTATCGCCGTTCTCGCCCGCAGGTTTGTTGCGGACTTGTGGCGCTGCATCAGAACTGCTCTGCGCGGCGCAATACTCACTACCATCACAGCGGCTCCCCTCCAGAGACGGCGATGCCAAGCGCAGGCCGCGCCACCTCTGAGCCAGCCCCGGGAGACTCCACACTATCTACAGCCGCGGCCGCTCGCGGCGCGGCGCCACGCGCGGGAGACACGCATTCCGGGGGCACGTCTGCCGCCACGGGAGACGAGGTTGGCAAGCTGGTCGCAGGATTGTTCGGCGCCACCACCACTGCCACTGCCGGAGCGGAGAGCGGCACGGCAGCGGCAGCCGGTACTGGAGCGGTAGCCGGTACTGGAGCGGCAGCCGGTACTGGAGCGGCGGCCGGTACTGGAGCGGTAGCCGGTACTGGAGCGGCAGCCGGTAATGGAGCGGTAGCCGGTACTGGAGCGGCAGCCGGTACTGCAGCGGCAGCCGGTACTGGAGCGGCAACCGGTACTGGAGCGGTAGTCGGTGCTGGAGCGGCAGCCGGTGATGGAACGGCAGCCGGTTCTTGAACGGCAGCCGGTGCTGGAGCGGCAGTCGGTACTGGAGCGGCGGCTGGTGTTGGAACGGCAGCCGGCACCGGAGCGGCTACCGGCACTGAAGAGGCAGCCGGTGCTGGAGCGGCGGCCGGCACTGGAGCAGATGTCGCCTCCCCAGCACCTGCGGGCGGGCACCGCTCGCTGACCTCGGTGGCGCCGGGCGGCGGCGACGGTCCCGGCGAGTCGCTGCCGGGCGTGGTGCGGTCCGAGGTGCGGTCAGAGCCGGCCGGCGACATGGTGAGACAGGCCGAGTCGGAGGGCGGACGGCGGGCCACGCTGCGCCGCCACCGGCCCGACGAGCGAGACGACGAGGTGGAGGAGGCGGTGCGCCGGCTGCGGCGGCCCGAGTGCGTCCAGTGCAGCGGCTCCTGGTCGACTGGCGACGCCTCCTGCCCGGGCAGAGGTCACACTCCAGACACTGCGCGGAGACAGCTGACGCGGTACCGCGGTTCGGCTGACGCACTCAGGAGCGTGCGCGTTCGCGCCGCTACACATGTCCAGCGGTCCACTATGGCAGCGGGGCCGATGTAAGCACGCCAGTACCCTGGGAGAGGCCCGGTGCTCGGACCACCGCATAGAGCTCGGTACTCAGAACACTGACCACCACAGACAGCAAGGCTTTTCCAGCGGGCGTCCCCCGCCGCCGCGCCAATGTGCAGAGGACGGGCAGAGTGGGGCGATAGAGCGCCGCCACTCGTCTGCGCGAGCTGGACACGGCGCAGGCCCGGGCCACACTCACCAGCGCCGAAGCCGGGCCGGACTGCCAGCCAGGGACGGCCGACGGGCACACGTGTCTGTCCAGATCGTACTCATCCTGTAAACGGTCGTAAGGGAGGCTGCAATACAAAAACATGATATCGTGCGTACAGTGCCCCCATCCGTTTAGTATCACATCGTATCACAGGTGCTCTTTCACATTTGAAGATACTGGACCAGACATCACATATTGTGGAAATAGCTTACTTCTTACCATTCACGTGTTCTTTGGTGCAAAAGACCAATCTAAATATCAAAATACGCTATCAGTTATTATAGCAAATGCGTCATCGTTTGATTAAGTCATTTTATTAATTATTTTATGATTTAACATTTTATGACGTCAGAGTTTCTGCCAGTTGGCGGCATCGGTTGCCACTATAGCGGACGACATGGCTCACTTGCGATACTTATACGCGCCACAAGATGGCATTGGTGATTTGGGCGTGAATATTCGTGATACAGCCTCAAGTGCGTGTATTTTCTTGTTCTTTTCGTGGTGTTCTTGCACATTTGTTTCGTGATGGCATGGTTTTTACCTGCATTTGCATCTAAGGTCATGACACTTTGCCTAAGTTATTCGATTATCAGCCTCATGTTCGTCATAAGCAGCTGCTGCTCAAGTGCCAGTGTGGTTTGATTCGTGCTCGAGACATCCTCCGTCTTAATATCCTCGATATCGCTCTATCCTGCCTCCCCGCGACGTCGCGCTTGCTCGGGGTGCCGCATGCGTCAGCGGGCCCAAGCGCCCCCTGGTGGGGGCCAAGTCCGAGCGCAGAGCGCACACCATCCAAGGGAGCTCCTGTGAGGTCTCCTCTCCATCTGGGGTTTCCTCGCTGGAGGAGACCCCAGATACAGGTGGTCCTGCCCCACCGTTGTCATTCGTCCCATAGTCCTGAAATAGCCATGACTGACCGAAAGGGCTCTACTCCAAACACTGAAAGAGCCTAAACCGTGATCGAGACGAGTAATCGCAACGTAAATCTGACTGTTGACCAATTGCCTTTCATTGTTGGGACAACTGATGTCGAACCACTGCAACCAAGAATATTTCAGCGCGGAGAAGGCTACACAAGTTTGCGTGCGTCAAGCTCAGAAACAATAGATTTTGAAGGCTAAAAACGGTACTAAATGACCAAGTGACTATCTCAGTTAAAAACTATATCCAGTGATGCGTAACACTGACACAAAACGATAAGCCGCATCGAAAGACCGCCTAACCATTTGGAGGATTCACCAAGGCAGTATCAGCTTCGTCACATATGCAACCTTTTCCAGTGCTTTTTTGGCCCTGTGGTACTTAAGATCCCAACAGTGAGTCACTGTCATCTCATGTCATGTCAATCACATATTCACCACGTGACGAAGTCAAAAGCTTGCGGTCCAATGGCCGCATACAGAGCGGCCGAGCCAAAGAGAGAGACGGCGTAACAGTGAGGAGCCGACGCGCCCGCAGTCGGCCGTGACGTACCGGCCGCAGCGCCGTGCTGGGATTGGCGGCCATCAGCTCGGCCAGACCCAGCACCACCCGCTTGAGCCAGCCCTGGTGGCGCAGGAACGCGCCCGGCCGGTAGTGGCGCGCCAGCTGCGCGGTGTGGCTCAGGAACGTGGTGAAGTAGAACTCCAGCATGCCCTGCGACAGGGCCAGCAGCAGCCACGCGCGCCCTGAAATTCACGCAGGCGATGCTTACTGAGCCTTCCCACTCACGGTCAGCTGCACGTGCATGCTGTGGGAAACCGTTGACTGCAGGGAGACAGACAGCGCAGCAGTATATATACATGCATGCCATCACATCACGTTCGTCCCGATGGTTCAGTTGGTTAGAGCGCCTGCCTCACGGTTCACAAACCCGTTGTGGGTTGGGTTGGAGTCGCTACAGCCGTTTGTTATTTACTCTTGATAGGTACGGCCTGTGGCCGGTGCAGCGGCCGCCCTATGAAGATCAGGCAATGTCGGAAGGCTGGACGGACTGTGCCGACCATTGTGGCACGTTAAACTTCCGCCATCAAATTCTGCCATTGACTTGTAATTACACGATGGTAGGACACATAAACAAACACAGCTGGCGTGAATTCTGTCACAGAAATCCATCCATTCATACGGTGCACCTCTTGAATACAAAAGCATTATAGTTTTGATTTCTTATGTGCATAACTTATTTCTCTCTTTGGATTTGCCGCCCACATAATTTCACTGCATTTCGAACCAATGGAGTAACAAAATTCGGATGACGTCACCCCTCAGGTTCGTCGCTGATGTCGGCATCGACATCACTTCATTATCAGCTCGCGCTCATGCACGCACGCACGTATATATATATATATATATATATATATATATATATATATATATATATATATATATATACTTAGAAGTCAGAGAATTAATGAACCTAAGCAATCAAAACTTTTTTACCGTAAGGCGCATCTGAATGAATGAATTTCTGGGATCAGAAGTTCACCGTTAACCAGTGCTTGCTGCATGATCCTTGAACCCTACCATTCGACTGTGCAGTTCCAAGTCAACGGCAGTTGTTTTATATTTCATTTTGGTTTGGCATTTTGATTTTGTGTTCATTCAAAATTTCTAAAATAAGACAACATAAATAGCATTATTCCTCATAGCCAAATCAGGGTAATGGATATATACATGCCTTGGTATATCGGCAGCATCCCTTTCTTGAAACGAACAGCAGCAGTAAATTCAACACAATTAAGTGACAGAAACAATTCTCCCATGAACCACTGGCACGCACCAGATACCAGCAAGCGGTTTCTCCCACAAAAGAAGATGTGAACAAGGATTGAGCAGTGAATGATTTTTCATGTCAACTTGCCAATTCATGGTTGTCACATTTCATATCAATTTTGCATTTACTTCTGCTATTCATATTGATACAGGCATGTTGCCAAAATATGAACACATGGCATCTTCATTCTCCTGGCTTTTCTACACAGAACAAGGCTATAACTACTGTCTCTGTGAAAATTGCCATCTCTACTATCTCTACTATCTATGTGCATAATGTTCCTTGCAAATGCATTTAACAACTTCCAAAATTTTCAAAACATGAAGCCTGATGGGACAAATCTCGGACATGTGCTATGATGTGCCAAATGACCATGTTATGTTTTGTTCCAGGTAGAAATCAATGATAAGTTCCTTGCAAATGTGCAGCTGCAGCAATAAGGACAAGTCATTAAAATTGAGGTGCTGAATGAATCCTTCCTTTAATCTTGTTAGGAGCAGTAGCATCAAGAAAACAACGCAATGGTTCCAGCAAGGTAGATCAGCCTGCATTGTCAAGGGAACCCAAGCTTAGCTGATAACACATCTTTGGCAGAAGACAGACAGGCTGGCTCTCTTATATTATAATGATCAACCAAGCTGGCAGCAAAAGGTCCCAAAGTTCACATCCAGATTTATTTTGGGCCAAAGGTAACATGACGACATCAGCAATATTGTAAGGGAGCCTGAGTAGCTTCCATCAAAGAATATGTACTTGCTCCACAGCTTCACCATTCTTTGACACATTGAGATGGCATCTGAACCCCAATCACTCACCTGATACCTTGTTACCAGGCACAACATCCACCATTGTACCACTAGACACTGTGATCAGCTCACAACTCCTCTGGTACCCTCCCAGTGTGACTGCATGTTAAGGGAATGTTCCACACTTGTGTGAGGTTTTGGACCCATTGAGCCATGTTCAAGATCATTCCCTCCAGTTCAGTTATGCCATTCTTAGGACCTCAGCTCATTGTTTCTGTGCTAGATGCACATAAACTTGTGCAGGCTATTTTGTGCCACTTAGTGGACAATTACTCATCATGTTTGATATCACAGAAACATTGCACAAATTTCCTTTCCCAAATAGTGATATAGTTCTCATGGTGAAAATAATATGACCATCAGCATACATACTTCTAGAGCACATAAGTTGTCTATCAGCAGACAGCAGTTAGATAACAACCGTTCTAGTCGCATGTCTTGATTAGAAACCCTGTTTTGTGATACAGAGCACAGGCATTTGTGCAATTCTACTAGAAATGGTCTACTAGAATGTGGGGTCTAGAATGTGAGGTTAAAAACTGAATACAATGAGGAGAAGGCAGTAACTGAGAATGAAAATACCACTTGCAATATGCTGGCACATAAGCTAGAATATGATTGCAAACTGCAGATGGCACATCATATCTGGATTCAAGGAAGGGGAAGTCATCCATCATATATGACTGAAAAGCAATCTAAAGTTATGCTATCCAAAAAGTTTGATGCATCATGTGAGACTTAAGTTGCAAAGCTCTGAAACTGTTGGCCTACACAGGAGTGTCAATAGCAACTTGTAGATAAACTATCTACAAATTCATACATTAACCAAATGTAACTCAGTCATGTCAACCCACCTTTTCCAACTCCAGTAATTGCATTCTCCATCCTGGTGATATGCTTCACACCATCCTTATGAGTAAACTCTTGCACAAAGGGCCAAAAACCATTCTTTTCCTGCTTTAGCCCATGACTACAAATCATGTCCATGCTGGTAAGGAATTTGTGGACTTCCTCAGCTCTCAGTGGCTTGGCTTGTACTTGGACCTGTGGAATGACAGAGTGGACATTACTTGCTTCAACCACATAGCCTCATCTTATCTCATTGCTATGGACCAGCTATACCCTTGAATTTTACTTCAGCTTCCAGTACATCCTCATTATGATTGGCCAGCTCAGCTGTCATGCTTTGTAAGAATTAGCCTCCCAAATGTTTATATGGCTATTAGCAGGACTACACTGAAATATGAGCTTTGGATTGTATAAACCTAGAAGTCCTCCAGCCATAGAACAGAGTAGGAAGCGATGAGTTTGATCTATAAATTCATTTACCATGGCAAAGTGATTTCAATGATATGGAGAACTGAGGCCAGTACTACATTATTCAGCCAGATTTTGAGCAGTCCATGGCAACTTGAGGTTTAAGCCAGATAAATGTCAGTGCCAAACAATTCTGATGGTCATCTTCCCCATGCATTTTGCAGTCTTGATGGGGCTTCTACTCTCTCACAGATAATTATCCTATTAGACTTCATCCCAGGCCTAAATACTTATTCCATTGGCAACATAAGTCCTACACATATGTAAAACAGTAAGAAACAATCATACTTACCAAGTGAAGAAGATCCTTCCTCTGAGATTCAAACAAGTGATAAATGTTCTCGAGCTCATCCATCATCAATACAATTTGTGTCTGTTGGCTACTGTTTCCTGATGACCCAGCAGCCCACAAGCTTCATTGTGTTCTTATAAGCAATCAAAGGCATCATGACAGAACTCATCATACCACATATGATGATTGAACAGGGCATGAGGGGTGTGGCACAGTATTTGCTTGGCGCCTACACCAGGCAGCGCGGAAACCACTCATGCAGCGCAGAAACCACTCATTGGATCCACAGAACCCTGTTCGGCATAGAAGCACCTTCAGGTCCAAACTGCAGTGCCCTGTAACTGCACCATCCCGAACTGTTGTTTCCGTTAGATCCTTTATTACTGATGGCTGCTATCACAAACTGTCCCCGTTTGTCACACGGGCTACTCCCCTCCGTCCCTCGCCCCTCATTGTTGTCTCCCTTTCCCGAGCTTTGGTCGAGATGAACAGAGGAAAGATGCAATAACAGCGCAGATGAGACATAATATACTTATTTTTGTGGCCTTGTGTTAATTCACCTGAAAGCATTGACGGGTGGGGGACACACATATTTTATCGGTCAGTGCGATCAAAGCCACTCTCATATATCCCCTCGGCTGACGGCTGCGTTGAAGATGTGTAGAGGTACAGTAAGCACGATATTTCCTGCAGGCCACCAGGCGATCCAAACGATGCGGCTAACGCGGGCTAGGCTGCTAAGCACGGCCACACGGTGCGGTCGCACCCGCCGGTAGACCACCGCCGCGCAGGTTACGCGGTAAACACCAGCAATCTCCGCCAACGCAGTCAGCTGGATCCGGTCACCGGAAACCGCCCGCGGCCAGCTAAACTTTCCTCTCCCTGTGCTTCACTCCGCACCCCAATCGTATTCCCTCCGTATATTTATCCGCATCCATCCGGATTGACCGGGCCAGGCCAAACCAACTAGATGGCCGCGACTACCGACCCGGTGCAGCTGACCCAGCATGACCTTTTTGACCAGCAGTTGACCCATAATGACCTGGTGGGCCAGCAGCTGACCCGGCTGCGCGCCGTCGGCCAGCGGGGCGCCACGACGTCGCTGCAGCGGGCGCCGCCCGACCGATACGCGAGGCGCGGCACCGACCCGGCACCGCTGACCTGGTATGGCCGGGTGGACGAGCCTCTAGCCCAACTAGCACCGACCGCCGACTGAACAATCCTGGTCACACGGCGCGGGACAGCCATCCATCGTCGACTCTCCGGGACCGACTCATCATCGTCCAAGAGATGACAGGACGGCTGTCATGGCGCTGACTGCTGACCGAACAGCCGCGGTCACGCGGTGCCCATGTGGATTGGTATAAAGAACAATTGACTGCAATATGCGGCAGTTAAAAAAAAAACAGATTGGTCCGGATAAAGTAAACGCACGTTTTCCCTCGCGAGTGCATTTGTTCCATTCGTGATTGTGGTGGTCATACAACACGATCAGCGCTACAGCCGTAGTCATCAGTGATCCCTTTACTGATATCTGATATCTCTTACTGATATTTAATGATCCTCTGTGAAATACGTCTCATTCCATACCTGTCACAAAAAACGCGACTCGCTTGGACTTAGAATGAAAAGTAATTCCTCCGCAAAGAAATCTTAAAAGTTTTTTTAAAAATTATATTTTCGAGAACGCAAACTGAAGTAACCGAAATTCGGGAGAAATCAGGTTTTGGGAGAAGGTTAGGTCGTCCTTTTTGGTTGAGCCTCCCCCAACCAGAGGCGGATCTATACTTTGGTTTTGTTTGGAGGGGGATAAACTGTTTCCGCAGCCGCCGTTAACTCCGACACGTGTCGACTGTGTACACAGATGACTGCCCCAACAGTACCAAAGAGGAGAAATTCTACGCCATTAGGTTTTGGGAACATGACATGGATTGCACATGCCAGCATATGTTCGATCGTTTTGGAGACCAAATGATGGTTTTACGACTTTTTGGGGCCTATGGCCCATTTGCCCTCCACCCCGGATCTGCCCTTGTCCCGAACCGATTTAAGTTCCATGGCTGTCCAGAACAAATGCAATAGACCGTACTGCTTGCTACCGCCAGACTTGACTTACGAACAAAGTGAGGTTACTAGCAGTTACTTTATGAACGCCTCCAGATGCATTCTGGGTGTAGTACGTTGAAGCAGATGGCGCATGCGCAGTTCAGTTTTGTAGTGGGGCAGGTGGGAAAATGGCGGCGGGTGGGTCGCTCGACGATCTTCTCAACAGTAAAGTGGACGAAAGTGCGTTTACAGCCTTGGTTGGTACGCTAGAAGATCAGTTGTACTCCGGACAAGCCCAAGGAAACGTTGCAACTACGTCTGGCGGTGTCGCGACTGGTGACCAGGTCGCACCAGCCGTCAGTTCATGTGGTGCGGTGGGCGCGGGCGGCCGCGTGCCAGCGAACGGTACCCAACATGCCGTTGTTTCTTCCCAATGTGACAATAAGACTGGTGGTTTGAATGTTTCCAGGGGCGTGGCAGTCACTAGCACTAGTTGTGGAAATGCCACCACCCACAGTCAAGCTGGAGTGATACAAACTGCACACTTCCCAGCCAGCGGTGGTCTTAGTACGACTGCTGGGGCAGGGAATGTGGTGGGTGCAGTTAACAATGCTAGTGTTATGAAAGTTGTGCATGCTGGTGGAACCCAAGCATCAACATCTCCAAGTGGGATATTCACCATAAACAGCAGCAGTTTGCCAAATGGTTCTGCCAGTAGTGCTCAAAGTGTCATCACAAATGGTAAACAAACAATGGCTGTGGGCCACAAAGTGGTGAATGTTGCACAGGCTTCCAGTGCACCAACAGTCATCACTGTCAACAGACCAGCAAATGTTACCACTGTTGGCTTCCCTGCTGTTGCTGCAAGCCCTGCAGCAACAAGTGGAGTGCAAATTGTGAATGTGAATCAGGCACGGACTCAGTCACCAAGTTTGCAGGGACAGAAAACACTGGCACCTCGTGTTTTGCTGTCACCTCAAGTTGTGAACAGAGCAGCCCAGCCAGGGGTAAGTAAAAAGTTTGCCAGGTTTCCTTTCAGTATTGTGTGTGTGAAATGTGCATAGGTATGCAATGTGTTTGCCACAAAACAACTGTAAAGTGCATGACTGGCCAAAGGTGTGTGATCAAAAGATGCTCAGCAAAACAGAAATGCACAGTGACTTCATGTTTTTATTAAGACCTATTTCACATTGTTTTATGTCTGGTGATAAGGTCCAGCCCAAGTGTCAAGCATTAGCATTGAAGTTCTATTGAAAAGTTAGTTGGTAGTTCTTAAGGCATGAGTTGGCCTAGTTGCATGCAGCATATATAGAGCATAGATATCATATAAAAGTCTCAGTATTCACAGGGTATGGTTATCCTCCATGCATTCTCAAACTCCACCAATAAACAGATATCCCACATCCACAGAACTTATACAGCATGCCAAAGCTGTGAAGTGATTTTGAGAGTAATGAGAGCATGACCTGACATCAGCAGGGCCTCACCATTTTGCTTCACAAAAGCAACAAATTTAAAGGGATTTTCTTTTCAGTGGCTGAAACCCAGGTTACTAGGCCATATGCCTGCAGAGTTTAGTACTTGCTATGGCTAAGCCCATATCAGTCAAGACCCTGATACTGAGGTGGTGAGTTATGGGCCAGGTATTAAAAATGTGTGGTCAGTTCCTGGTCAAGCATACAAAACCTCATAGGTGCCACTATGTTGCCCATTTTAGTGTGAAATTTGCAGTTTGCCAGAAATCGCTGGAAGACAATCGCAAATCGAGCTTCTGCCTCGGCAACGGATGGTCACAGTGTGTAATCGCGCCATCAAAGATGGGCATCGATTCGTGCAGCACGTGCACGTATGCTTGTTCAAACAAAACCGATTCAGCGGTTTGGAGGCGATTTTTTCGGAGCTGATGTCATACCCGGTAGCCCGGCTTGGTAGCAGCGTGAGACGGACTGTGCCGTGTAGGCCACTGTACCTTCTACATTCGGACCTAAATTGACGCCGGGAATCAGTCTGGCAGCGATGAACGTCGTTCTTTAGACCCGTCTCGAATTCAACACCCCTGTGCATTAAATCGAGTGAAGAGGTACGCAAATGACACAGACGTGAAGCCTAACGGCCCATATCGCCCAATGGCCCATACGGTGGCCCATATCGACCAAAAATGCTTGCACATTTCACACACCTACACAGTCGTTTAAAACACCAGTCACGGCAGCTCCTCCAGTTTTGTCGGTGCAAGAGTGACGCCCTAGTCGGCCTATCACCGACCACCCACAGGCATTGAAGTCTCGCATTTTCACTACTGGTTTCCGCACGCCAGATACTCAGACGTGTTGCTCGGCCTTCAGCAGCCGGGGGTTGCGTACACGACACCAAAACAGTGTGACTGAGACAAGATAACGCAGTCGTGCTGACACACGCGTTCTCGTGTGTAGGCGGTCACGCGTTGGCGGGCGCAGTGTATGTTTGGTCAGCTCTCCCACGAATCGTGTAATATGTCGAACAGGTCAAGCTAGAACGACGCCGAATTTAGACGCGCGGTGTCGGTAATGAGCGTCTTCCTACCGTGGCTGATTCTGCATTATTTTATTGGTGAGCATGCGTGGCCGTGGGACACATGCTTGCACAACGTAGGAGAAGGCTATTATCCCTAACGTTGTGCATTACGTAAATCGGTCACGTGTAGAGCATCGTGCAAAACGTACCCTTACTGTAAATAACGTCTAATCATAATACAGGCGCAACGTGTGTGTCCTATAAGGTTTAAGTTTAGAGGCCGAAAGTCGTCTGAGCGTGCTGCCAGCATGCACCCTGGAGCGCTGGAATTCTGAGGAAACCTTTACCACAGAGGTCAGGCCAGAGTTATTATGTAAGCTGGCGTGCACAGCTGTGTAACACGTGCCGTACAACGCCCAGGGTTAAGTGTTACCGCCGACGTTGCGCAGCGCAGAAATAGACCATGCGTAAAAATTGTCCAAGCTGTCGCTAAAATGTTCATTTCCGAGACGCATACTTTGTATGCAACGTATGTATGTACGTGGTACGGTGCGCCCGTGCACCTTATTAACTACGTTATTGTTCTAGGCCTGCATGTCTGAGCAATTAAGTGATCATGCTTTTCCCGAATAATATGAGCGATATGATCAGATTTCTGCAGTAAGGATGGCTTCCCAAGGACGCAAAAGTCATTCCCTAAATGCTGTTGAAATGTGGGGTTATGCTACGATATCTTTGGTTCATGTTCGCAAATTTGACGCCCAAGAATTTTGGTAGAACATTATTGGGTATGTATGAGCAAACTGAATGATTCAGCATCGCAATGCGTTAGTTTAAGATTTAATAAAGCTATTTTAAGCCTGTTTATTGTCGTGGATGCTAGGCTACCGGACATATGCTCGTATGCATATACATTATATACGTTGCCAGTAAATACCGTCGTCATTCCACACACGGATCATCCTGCGAGCATATTTGGCCATATTCGACCAGGAGAATAGTGCATCTAACACATCCGTTCTCAGAAAATATTGAAGGGTTTTATTGTCAGCATAACTCCTCACTCATAACTCATTCTTCTTTATTGCCAGCATAACTCTACAGTAAGCATAACTGAGCAATGCTTTTCCGTCACTGAACTGGGAGCTTGCTGTCATGGCGTCATGGATCAGTCGTGGCGGAGTGTGTTCAGCGACGCATCAATTGCACAGACACTTGCATGTGTGTCGGTGATTATATACATATATATATAGGTATTGTGCGCTGTATATAGTCTCCAATTACGTTCCGTGAGCAGATCGAAGTTGTTTTTATGTGCCATTGTATACCTCCACAATGACGAGCGTGATATATTCCACTGGCCTGTATTGATGGTGTTCTGTCGTTTTCTGGTGCAGCAGCCCATCACACTGCAGACCATTCAGGGTCTACAGGGCTCGGCATCGGGCCACCTGCTATTTAAGACGGAGAATGGCCAGCTGAAGCTGATCCAGCTGCCGGTCCAGGGCGGCACCACCTCCGCTGCCGTCTGCTATGTGGGCACCTCCACCACGTCAACGCCCATGTACAAGGTAACTTTGGATTGGTGTGGTGGTTTGAAAATGACGATGACTGCTATTTTGATGTCGCCACTATGTTTTCATTTGTTGATGTTTTTGGTGTTAACGTGATGTAGTTTTTGGGACGGACTGACCAATGAGGCATGTCTTTCTCAGCAATTAGGTTTATCCCAGAAAATAGTTGCCTCTCTCTCCTCATTATATTGTTTTGTTTCCGTCTGCTGGTTGAGCAATAGGTATAACTCATTCAGTTATCTAACATAATGTACTATGGAAGTTTGCATGTTTATCTGTGATGCCTGGATCTGCGCTGCTTCAAATATATATTTTTTTTTACGTTCCTCTGTGTGCTCTTGACCGTAGCTTTCCCGACATTTCCTCAAGTCATGTTGCTAGCCACGTCCTTTTTTCTCGCCGCCACATTTCCAATTGTTTGCTTCCCTCATCACGTATGCCTTGCTCTACAAGCTGCTCATGTTACATGCCATCTGTAAGGTATCTGTGTGCATCGCGCGGTGTCCAGCGGCGCAGCCAGGCTTCCGCGTGGCCTGTGCTGTGAACTGTATGGCCCTGCCGGGTGCTGGCGGTCTGCGTGGCCGTGTGAGCTGGCGCCGCCCGGTGACGCAGCGCCCTGGCCCCTCCCGGCAGCAGGCGACGGTCGGCGGCGCGGCGGCCGCCCCGCCGCAGCGGCCGGCCCCGGCGCCGGCGCCCCGACACCCGCACGCGCCGCACGGCCACCTGCCTAACATTTACAAGGTGCGAGCGACCACGCCGGGTCGGGTCGGGTCGGGTCGGGTCCGCGCCGCTGCGAGCGCACGCTCAACTGTCCCGCACGGGCCCCGTTCTCAGCCTCGCGAAGGTTCTGGGCATTGGTCACGTGGGCCAGCTGGCTCGTCCTGCGATGGTGGGTCGGTACTCTTACCGCCCTTCTGACCCGTCTGTTTTCATACGTTTGAAAGTATTTGGGCCTCTGACCTGCTGCTTGCATGAATACTGTTGCTACAAATTACTTGTGCCTGTGCGTTCGTGAATGTTGAAGGCTGGCCACAGGCTGGCTGCGATGAGCACTGTCGTAGTTTTGATGGCCTCGTCCACCTCGGGCCGTGGCATGAGATGTGCATGCGGCCTGCAGTCCCGCCCTCGGACCGCGTTCCCTGGGCCCTCTTATGTGGCTGGCCCGAATTGTGGAACTTGGTTTCGACCAGGCCATGGAGGTGCTGGGCTCGGGTGCACATTGTTCACAGTCCAGAGTTATGGCCCGCAGTATCACAACTGCTGACAGACGTGACATCCCCGAGAGTTAGATGTTCTTCTGATTATTTATGGATGATGTGGTCGCACTCTACATAAATTGCGCACCGCTGGATGCGTTGCGTTCGGCAAACTTCGCGTTCCACAGTTATTTGTGCCTAACCGAAAATTGAAATGTGTAGTTGTAATGTACTTAACGAAAACAAAAACAAAAAGTAATCCGTCCTCGTCAGGGTAGGTCGGCTTATCTATTTTGGAGGGTTTTGGCATCCTGGTGGTCTTACATTGCTTTCCACATTGCACCTGGCCCCTGTCTTAGTCGGCGCTCTGTCCTGTGCCCAGTTGAGTGCTGTGTTGTCTCTGGTGGTGTACCAGACTGTCCGGTCTGGTGCAGCGCAGACGCGAGCAGCAGCGGCCGAGAGCTGGCGAGCACGACTCGGTGGTAGAGGGCGCTGGCATTGGAGCTAGTGCTGACCTGGGAGGCACTGCTGGGGGCGGGAATGATGACCTAGGCATATTGAAGTTGTGGGGGGCGTGTGCTCATTAAAAATGGAGTTACCTCACGGCATTGAACAGGTTTTTAACCATGCTTTTTGCATACCTCAGCAGCTTGTGTGGTGTGACATGCCCAGATAGCCCTAACACGTTGTAGTTTTGAGCGTGTTTCCCTCCACCGACGTCTGATATCGGTGTGCCCAGCGTGTTCGCGCGTACCGGCACGCCGAGATAACACTGGCGCTGGTGAGGTACACCTGGAGGGCCCCGGGGTGGCGCTGTGCCGCACCGCGCCGGTATTTGACGACGCCCGCCTATCGCCAGCAGAGCCCGGTGCAGGCGGCCACCACCCCGCGGACAGCAGTGGCCGTGTCGGCCGCGCCCGCCGTAGCCGCCCCCGCACAGCCCACAGCCCAGGTGAGCGTCCCGCCGCCCCCATACGCCCGTGGCCCACAGCCCAGGTGAGCGTCCGCCGCCACCGCACAGCCCACAGCACACAGCCCAAGTGAGCGTCCCGCCGCCCCATACGGCCCATAGCCCACAGCCCAGGTGAGCGTCCCGCCGCTACCGCACAGCCCACAGCCCACAGCCCAGGTGAGCGTCCCGCCGCCCCATACGGCCCATAGCCCACAGCCCAGGTGAGCGTCCCGCCGCTACCGCACAGCCCACAGCCCACAGCCCAGGTGAGCGTCCGCCGCCACCGCACAGCCTACAGCACACAGCCCAAGTGAGCGTCCCGCCGCTCCCATACGGCCCATAGCCCACAGCCCAGGTGAGCGTCCCGCCGCCCCCATACGGCCCATAGCCCACAGCCCAGGTGAGCGTCCCGCCGCCCCCATATGGCCCTTAGCCCACAGCCCTTGCGCAACCCAGCTGGTATTTTTTCCTGGCTCTGGTCTGCTATTCTCGACCAATGGTAATTGGCTAGATCACAGAGATGTTCAGTCTGCGGATGGAGGGTGTTCGTGTGCACCGAATCGAGCTGACGACCGTGGTGCCGATTATTTGTCGTGGCGAATGGCGACTGCCGAAAGCAGCACCCGAACCGCCGTGCCGATGCTTTTGATAGCCAATACAAATGTAAAAAGGCGGTTTGGAGGCAAGCTGCATTTCACGGACTGTGGAAGCGGACGGGACATGTTCGTAGGGTTCGCGCGGAGGCCCCGGATACGACTGCTATCTCCCCGCTGACGAGCGACAAGCCATCACGGACTGTGGCGTGTGGTGTGTGGCGCTCATGTGACGTCTTATCCGCACCGGTAGCCGGCGCAGGGCGCAATGGCGGCCGACACGGCCAAGCTCAAGTGCAAGAACTTCCTGTCGACGCTGCTGCGGCTGGCCAAGGACCAGCCGGACACGGTGGAGCGCAACGTGCGCACGCTGATTCAGAGCCTGATCGACGCGCGAGTCGAGCCCGAAGCCTTCACCAGCCGGCTGCAGCAGGAGCTGAATTCGTCGCCGCAGCCCTGCCTGGTGCCCTTCCTCAAGGTGGGCGGCGCGTTGGAGAGAGAGACGGAGGGTTGTAGGCGGGCCCAGCGGCGTGGACTGTTGTTCGCCGGGTGTGCGGGGTGGTACGTGTGATGAGAGGTGTCGTGTTGGAGCTGTTGCCCGGCGGGCGGCTTGGCTTCGGCTGGACGCCGCGGCGCCGGGGGTCGTACGCGCCCTCCAGCGGGGCTAACGGTGTGCCGCGCCGTCTGCAGAAGAGCCTGCCGTTCCTGCGCCAGTCGCTGTTCAGCCGCGACATCACCATCGACGGGGTGAAGCCGCCGCCGCAGTCGGCGCTCGCCGCCGCTCCGGCCGCCGCGCCAGGCACGCTGCACGTAAGACACGGCCGCCCCGGCCCCTGCCGCCGCCGGCGGTGGGCATCTGCCTGCGATGACGTCTTCCGCGAGGTCGCTGCTTGTTTGGACTTGTGTGTTTTTTCGCGCCAGAATCAGTTTGTTCTAAGCTGTCGGTGTTCGGTGTTGATCGTGAGTAGCATGCTGTTTTGTGTGTGGATGTTTTGCTGCTTCTAAAGTTGTGCCTTGGGGCTGCCCGGCTGGAGACGCGTGGACAGTCGCGGGGACCTCGGCCTTTCCCGGGTATCATCCTCCCCGGCACACACACACACACACACACACACAGAAAACAGCTGCTACAAACTTCTAAAACTAGTTTTCGCAATTAGAGCCTTTTCTTTAGTTTGATTTTGGTTTATTTTCCACAAATTCAGTGACTTTGTTTAATGGAAGCAACATCCCGGCATCTCATAAGGCGGGCATGAAGCCGGCGCCAGTTGGTCGCGAATGCAACCTTACGCTGTCGAAAGATACGCGGGTGATGCGACTGCGTGTCATGTTTTGTTTCTCTGCGGTCGGTACATAGAGCTGGCATTCGTGTGGCTTGCGTATACTCACGCTGCAGTGCTGATGCCTGCTCGCACGCCGGGACCTGCGCATGGGCGGTCCGTGTCCCGGTCTGCGGGCTGCCGTGGGAGGCGCGGGGGCCCCGAGAGAGCGGGCTCCGGTCGGTCAGCTGGCCCTGTCCGTGTGTCTCCGCCACCAGCCACCCCCGTCGGTCACCCCCCGGCAGCCGTCCATATCGGTGGTCACCCCCCGGGCAGCCACCCCATTCCCGGCGGCCACCCTCCGACAGCCGTCTGTATCGGCGGCCGCGCCCCGGCAGCCCCCCCCCCCCCTCCTCGGCCCCCCCCCCCCCGGCCAGCCCCCGGCAGCCGTCTGTATCGGCGGTCGCGCCCCGGCAGGTGCAGCGCGCGCCGGCGCCGGCGGCCGTGACCGTGGCACGTCAGGCGGTGGCGGTGACGGCCGGGCCGGGCCGCGCCGCCGCCCTGGCCGTGGCCGCGCAGCCGCGACTCGTGCAGCCGCGCACCGTCTCGGCCCACCCGGCCCTGCTCGGCGTCCAGCCCGTACGTAACCGCGCCTGACTCCCCAGCATGCCGTGACGTCACGCCCCGCTGTCTTGCCGCGCCCTTCTTCCCCTGCGCTGCGGCCTGGTGGTGCTGCGCGCGGGTGGGTTTCGTTGTGTTGTGGCGAAGTGGCATGGTTGTCGTAACTGGGACTCCGTAGCCGTCATTGTCTGCTACCGTTCTCGAAAGGTCTCGGTGCAGTTATCACCGTCGCACTAGCATTTGGAAAGTGTACGATAGCATTTGGAAGTTATCGGTCAGATCTTACTTCTGCACCGGCCGCGGTACTGGTCGGTCGTGACGTTCATCCCTGGTGCCTGTGCGTGTGATCACCGCGGCCACCATGACGCCGGGCCATCCACTGACGGCGGCGGCTGCCGGCCGTTTCTGACGTCACTGTCCGGCCCGGCCGTCTCCAGTCAGTCAACAAGGTGGTGCGCGTGCCGGCCGTCCCGTCGCCGGCCGCCGCCACCGCCGTCGCCACCGCCACCGCCGTCAGCTTCAACCGACAGCCTCCGGTGGCGCTGCGGCAAAACAAAAAACTCAACTTCAAGTAGGTGCTGGCGTCCACAGGACCGCCCTGTCCACTGGTCGTCGGGCATTGGGTAGCGGGGCGGACTGGTCACGAGGTCGGTCACGTCTTGACCTGACCAGACTGGCCAGGGTCACGTGATGAGGACGATCTTACCTACACCGCCGGTCTGGCGGTGTGTCAGTTGGTGCGACGTTGTGCGACTGACAGTTTGGGTGCTGTTTATGTCCGTGGAAGTGTCCAGATGGCACTGCTGTGTACTTAGCTCGTCTCGAGCCCGCAGACAGTTTGCGTGAACACTGGGATCTGCCAGTCGTTACGCACAAAGGCCTAGGCACAGCCATTTATACACCACGGTAAACACTTAGCTGTTATGGGCGCAAAATGACCCTAGAAGTCGACGCGCCCTAAAACCCCAATCATCACCATCATCATCATCACAAAGGCCTAGGTGTCACCGTCCCGACACTGCGGCAGCCAAGTCCGATTTACTTCGGTAGCGCGGCCTAAACCCGACCATGTCCATCGCAGTTTTCTATGTAGGTGCTTCGTTTGCAACCTGTTCTCAGTTGAGAACTGTTGTGATGCGCCAATGTCCACGCGTGCCGCCCGGAGCACCCGCACGGCGCCGACACGTCGGCCGTCCTGGTCCCTCCTCTAACCCGGCTGCTGGCCGTCGCCAGGTCATCGTTCGAGTCTGGCCATGACGACGACATCAACGATGTGGCGGCGATGGGCGGCGTCAACCTGCAGGAGGAGTCGCAGCACATCCTGGGCAGCACCGAGTACGTGGGCACGCAGATCCGCAGCATCAAGGACGACACGTTCCTGCCGAGCGCCGCGCTCCAGCTCAAGATCCGCCGCATCGGTGAGAGGCTGCTCGCTGGTGCCGCTCGCTGGTGCCGTGTTGGGTGGGTCGGGTCGGGGCCGGGGCCGGGGCCGGGGCCGATTCCGGGTCCGGGTCCGGGTCCGGGTCCGGGACCGGGACCGGGTCCGGGTCCGGGTCCGGGTCCGGGTCCGGGTCTAAGTGGGGCTCGGGTCGGGCCGGGCCGGGCCGGGCCGGGCCGGGCCGGGCTGGGCTGGGCTGGGCTGGGCTGGGCTGGGCTGGGCTGGGCTGGGCTGGGCTGGGCTGGGCTGGGCTGGGCTGGGCTGGGCTGGGCTGGGCTGGGCTGGGCTGGGCTGGGCTGGGCTGGGTCGGGTCGGGCCGGGATGGGTCGGGTCGGGTCGGGTCGGGCCAGGCCGGGCCGGGATGGGATGGGTTGGGTCGGGTTGGGTCGTTTGTGGGGAGCAGGCCACTGGCGGCCGGCCGGTCGTGACTAGACTTCCACCGACCGAGCTCTGGCGTAGTTGTTCCGTGCTGGACGGAGCGAGTTGTGATGGACGAGCAGCAGCCGCAAGGCTGGCCGGCGGCGCCGGATCTGTGTGCTCCGCGCCTGCGGGCCACTTGTGTGGGCCTGGGTGTGCCAGCTGTGCGCAGCGCGCGGTTGTTGCGCTGGTGCGGGAGCAAGCCGGTGATCGTGGTACCATGCACCACAGTGGGGCCGACGGGATGAATACTGCTGGCCACTGTGTCTGCCTGCGGGCGTTCTGGGCACGCGGCTGCCGTTGCTGTCACGTCTGGTCCGGGTCTGACCCATGAGTCACGGCCCGAGCCCGTGCGTCCGTCGCCGCGCGGGTCGGTGAGCTGGCCGCGGCGTTCCGCCAGCGATGCGGCACGGTCTCGAGGAGCCCGGCCCGGACGTGGTGGCGCTCGTGTCGCACGCCACTCAGGAGCGGCTCAAGACGCTGCTCGAGCAGCTGGCCGCCATCGCCGAGCACCGCATCGAGGTGGTCAAGGTGAGCTGCGCTCGCTGCGGCCGGCCGGACGCGGCCTACTCACGTGCCAACCGCGGTCAGCTGGTGCAGACCAGAGCATTTAACCGGCCTGCAGACGCTGTGCCGACGCGACCAGCTCTGCGTGTATTGGATGCGTTTGCTCAGCATAGTACGTGTAAAGCCGCATGTAATCTTACATTAGCTGGGGACATTCACAAAAAATTGACGATGTATTTTTGGGGTTGACGACCTTCATGGGCTTAATCGTAGCTGCTTAAAAATTGCTGTGGTGTTAACGCATTTGGATGCTAGTTTTAGAGATGATGATAAAGTTGTTCACGTATTGTTCAAGAGCTTAAAACCAGTGGCCTGTGTGCATGGTCACAACAGTGACGGCGGTGGTGAGCCCGGTGCGGGCGTAGGACATCCCAGCTCGGTGATGTGATATCTCTGACACACGGGATGGGACGTCAGTGTCGCGGCGCATTGGTCGGCCGTCGCCGCCGCCGCTGATCGCCGCCGTGCCCTTGCAGTCGGAGCCGGGCTACGAGGCCTCGCGCGACGTGCGCGGCCAGCTGCGCTTCCTCGAGGAGCTCGACAAGCTGGAGCAGAAGCGGCACGAGGAGACGGAGCGCGAGGTGCTGCTGCGCGCCGCCAAGAGCCGCTCCAAGACGGAGGACCCCGAGCAGGCCAAGCTCAAGGCCAAGGCCAAGGAGGTCAGTCTGCGGCAACCGGTGAAGCCGGTCAGCAACGTTACCGTGGTCGTTACTGGCGTTTTTCGGCGCGCCCTTAAACACCACTAACAACACCAATGATGTCCGTGACTGGATCTCACCGACATCGTTGTTCACACCAACAGCGAGGTGACGGTGACGCCGCGTCCGTCACCGTCGCCAGCGATGGTTTGGCTAGCTCGCTGGACCTGTGGTGGTGGCGTTACGGGGTTCGATGTGTTGCTTGTGTGTGTTGTGTTGGCCTCACCAGAAGTGTCGATCGCGCTGTGGGGTCATCCTCAAAACCTAGTGAGTTTCGCTGTGAATTTGTCGGGGCTGGGAGAGCGAGAGAGAGAGGAGAGAGAGAGAGAGAGAGAGAGAGAGAGAGAGAGAGAGAGAGAGAGAGAGAGAGAGAGAGAGAGAGAGAGAGAGAGAGAGAGAGAGAGAGAGAGAGAGAGAGAGAGAGAGAGAGAGAGAGAGAGAGAGAGAGAGAGAGAGAGAGAGAGAGAGAGAGAGAGAGAGAGAGAGAGAGAGAGAGAGAGAGAGAGAGAGAGAGAGAGAGAGAGAGAGCGTGCATGCGTGCGGCCATGGGCGTTCTCTGACGCTAGCGCAACGGCTTGCTTTTTGGTGATGCCGCCCGACCCACCGCTCCAGATGCAGCGGGTGGAGATGGAGGAGGTGCGACAGCGCGAGGCCAACTTGACGGCGCTCAAGGCGATCGGGCCACGCAAGAAGCCGCGGCTCGATGGCGAGTCGGCCGCTTCCGACACCCCCACCGTCAGCGGCGCGCTCAGCCAGAGACAGGTGAGAGACACGCCCACCGTCAGCGGCAGAGAGACAGGTGAGAGACACGCCCACCGTCAGCGGCGCGCTCAGCCAGAGACAGGTGAGAGACACGCCCACCGCCGGCGGCGCGCTCAGCCAGAGACAGGTGAGAGACACGCCCACCGTCAGCGGCAGAGAGACAGGTGAGAGACACGCCCACCGTCAGCGGCAGAGAGACAGGTGAGAGACACGCCCACCGTCAGCGGCGCGCTCAGCCAGAGACAGGTGAGAGACACGCCCACCGCCGGCGGTGCGCTCAGCCAGAGACAGGTGAGAGACACGCCCACCGTCAGCGGCAGAGAGACAGTTGAGAGACATGCCCACTGTCAGCGGCTGAGAGACAGGTGAGAGACACGCCCACCGTCGGCGGCCCAGAGACAGATGAGAGACATGCCCACTGTCAGCGGCCCAGAGACAGGCGAGAGGCACGCCCACCGTCAGCGTCGCACTCGGGCAGAGATTGGTGAGAAACACGCCTACCTTTGGCGCAGCGTTCAGCCACAAGAGCGTGCGAGATACGCGCTTCTCTGGCGTAGCGCTTACCCTGTAGAAAACCTGACGATGAGGGCGCGAACTGATGATCGCACTCGATGCGTCCTTAAGCACCAGTAAACAGCCATGCCGCGGGAATGCATGAAATATGGATCCCCATCGCCGATCTTTGGCACCTTCCGCAAAGTTGTTTGCGAATGGTCACGGGAAAGTCGTGAAACGCGCGGACAGTTGGACCCCGAGTGTAAGCTTGAGTCCAGAACCAGGCGAGGAAGACTCGTCCACCGTGACTGCGCCCGTCCATAGACAGGTGAGAAAGACGTGCTCAGCTACAGCCGCGGCCCGCTTAGACAGGTAAAGGTCAGTAAGTGCAGCCTTGAACACTGTCCTTCAGCTGAGCGCTCAGCCAGTGATGAATGGATAACCGCGACCGCAGTGATTCCAGCCTGGTCTGAGACCGAGTTTCCGTGCGACCGTCGGCCAGTGTTCGGCCGAACTGCCGTACCTGTCCGTCTGGTGATCAGAGTCTTCCGTGTGACCGGAAGTCGCACGGGGTGTAGGAGCTGTGTTCTAGACGCACGTGGTTCACGGACTCTGTTCCATCTCAATCAGGTCCGTTTGACGGTCGGACTCCGATCTGTCTGACGGCCGGACCCCGATCCCTCTGACGGCCTGACTCCGATCCGTCCGACAGCCCGACTCCGATCTGCCTCACGACCGGACCCTGATTGCTCTGACGGCCTGACTCCAATCCGCCTCACGGCCGGACTCCAATCCGCCTCACGGCCGGACTCCGATCCGTCTGACGGCCGAACTCCGATCCGTCTGACAGCCGGACTCCGATCCGTCTGACGGCCTGACTCCGATCCCTCTGACGGCCGAACTTCGATCCGCCTCACGGCCGGACTCCAATACATCTGACGGCCGAACTTCGATCCGTCTGACGGCCTGACTCCGATCCGCCTCACGGCCGGACTCCGATCCCTCTGACGGTCGAACTCTGATCCGTCTGACGGCCGAACTCCGATCCGTCTGACGGCCTGACTTCGATCCGTCTGACGGCGAACTCCGATCCGCCTCACGGCCGGACTGCTCCGTCTGACGGCCGCCAGACCGCTCCGTTGTGCGGACCAGCCGTGTGCCGCCGGCCGGGTCCGTGGCTGCCCGGGCCGCCGTGTAACGCCGCTCCGTTGTGCGGACCAGCCGTGTGCCGCCGGCCGGGTCCGTGGCTGCCCGGGCCGCCGTGTGACGCAGCTCCGTTGTGCGGACCAGCCGTGTGCCGTCAGCCGTGTGCCGCCAGCCGGGTCCGTGGCTGCCCGGGCCGCCGCGTGACGCCGCTCCGTTGTGCGGACCAGCCGTGTGCCGCCGCCGGGTCAGTGTCTGCCCGGGCCGCCGTGTGACGCCGCTCCACCTCGCTTCAGATCCCGCTGCGGCCGCGTTTGAAGCGCGTCAACGCCCGAGACCTGCTGTTCGTGCTGGAGCAGGAGAGAGGCCTGCAGCGCTCGGAGCGGCTGTTCCAGCTGTTCCTCAAGTAGCGGCGCCGCCCGCCCGCCCACCGCCTCGGCGCGTTCTAGCGCCTTGTTGTTATTGCCGGCCGCGCCGCATCGGTCCGGCGCGCCGCGCCCGGCTCGTCAGGGGGAGAGCGCCGCTCCACGTTTGCAGTGTTCGCCTACCCTCCATCTGCTTATGCTCGTGTTGGTCATTCGGTGAGCTGACCGCCCGCATCGCCGCAGTCTCGGCAAACTGGGTTAAGGCGCTTCTCACGGCTTTATCTCCAGTGTCCTCATCTGGGTCTGCTGTTCTTCCTTTGGATTGTAGGGTGGAGATAGATGCAGATTTTACGAGCGGCTGGTTGTGTTTTGCCTGTATGTGATAGCGGTCTTCGCTCGCCCGCCAATGTCTCGCTAGAGCGCCCCCCCCCCCCTCACCCCCCACCGCCCCAGCCTCAGCGTCTGCTTCCGTTTGCCACCCTACCTCGTGCACTTAGCCCCCTTCCCCTCCCCCCGTCGGCACGCCTCCATCTGCTGTCCCTTTCGCATTCGCTGCACGCTCCTCAAGCCCGCTAATGCCACGGGCCCGGGCGAGGGCCACCCCGCCCTTGCTCGGGCGCCCGCCCACTGCCCCTCCCTTTCGACCCCGGGCCAGGGCCGCTAGTACAAACTGCCCGGCCGGCCGGGCCGCGCGGTCCCCGGCTCCGCGTGCCTGTCTGCATGTGTGTGCGTGTGATGACGCGCTGCAAGCACTGTACATACGTCATATTCGCCTTCACCAGCGTACATCGCATCTGGCGCGGGTCGCCGGCCGCCGGCCCCGAGGCAGCGGTCGGACGGGCTCCACATCGTGCCGCCGTCTGTTTTTACCCGATGTTCATCTGTCATCAAGTGATTGAAACAATGAGAAAATATTAGTAACAACGGGAGATGTGTTTGGTCTCATGGCAAAGAGAACAGACGTGGTGGCGGGTGACAATCGACGGCAGCGGGTCGAAACAACGGCTTTTGTGCGGTCTTGAATAAGGAAAAACTCGTAACCGCGAACTGCTACGGGCTCCTTTCCTGATGTTTTTTTCGTAGACAACCTTGCCATGATAAGATCGGATCAGGTTATATTTACATTAACAAGTTCATGTAAACAGAACGTGTTAGTGATCTTTCGCAACTTATCTAGCTGGAATGCGGTATTGCATCGTAATGCGCTGGTTACGCCGCGCGATAGGGTAGTTTACTACCGGATTGGGCCGGCCACGCGAACCCCGCGCTGCCGGGCCGTGATACGCTGCTGGCCGGTCGGTCGGCATCGCTGAGACCGTGCGGCTGTGGGTAGCTGCGTCCCAGTCCTGACTGATGCCGGCGGAGCGTGGCATGGGGTCACGTTTGATCCACGTCATTGAGTCACAGCTTCGGTGCACCGGTTCTTAATTCTCAGCTTCACGTTTTAGAGAATCACGGTTCGTTCAACGTAAATGCGCCGTCCACGACTCTGGCTATTCCCGGCCGATGTTGGTCTGCACTGGTTTACAGTGCGGTCTGCCGTGCCAAGGTCGGTCACATTAAGATGGTGTACGATATGTTATCAAGGGACAAAATTTGGATATGCGGAGGCGACACCAGGCAGATCGGGAGATCTGCAACAGACATTACATTTTGGGTGCAGCCGCCAGGCAATAGTAAGATGTAGGGCAAAAGCTTACGTCATCTTGGCATTTTGGTACTGATGAGGAGTTCGGTAGCTCTCGTTGTCCCGGCACTCTGTGCTACCTCGATGCAGCGTGATGTCGCAGCATCGCTGGGTCATCGTTACTGCTCGGTGCATCGATGCAGCTTGGTGTCTCGGCCGATGATGATTGGTACCTCATTATCACTCGGTATCTGGACACTGCTGGGTATCTTGTCACTGCTCGGTACCTGGTACTTGGTACTTGTGTCTCTTGCTCGGCACCCCATAATGCTCAATGTCTCAGTGTCCCAAGAATCTGGCTCTGCGTCCATGGCAGCTCAGTTTCTCGGTACGACCCGATATTTCGGCGCCACGCAATAACTGTGTCTTTTACGGCATCTCTCACTGTCAGGTGTCTCGGTACCTCTCCGGATACTATGAAGCATCCAGATCTTGTTCTGCATTTGTGTGATCTGAGCCGTGTAGTCGAGCAATGTAGTCCGTCCCGGTGGCTCAGCTGGTTGGAGCGCCTGCCTCCCGGTTCACCCACCCGTGGCGGGGTGAGTTCGGGCCGCTTTTGGCGCTCGTTATTTGCTTTTGACAGATTTGGCTTCCGGCCGGTGGCAGCGGTCACGTCAAAGGTCAATTGACGTCAGGTGCAGTACGGACCGTGCCGAGCATTGTGGCACGTGAAGCTTCCGCCACTAAATTTTGTCGTTGCCTGGAATTGCGCGATCGGATGGTAAGGGGCCAGGGCTCACACAACAAGCACTGCTTAGCGCAAGCACCGATTCCAGAAATCCATCCATTCAAAGTGTTCGGATCAAATTTCTAAAACAGAAATATGGGTAATGCAAGACATTTTGAAAGTCAAACCAAACCGAAATCATTCAAGACTGCTTTAAGCTTCCCATTTGAATAAGCGACGAAGACTACGCTAAGCAGAATGTTCCTTTAAAAAAAATTGATCTGGGTTATTTTAGGTGAGTGACCTATTGTCACCCTCAAGAAGTTCATGGAAGGCGCATAATGCGGTTTTTGTTATCAATAAATTCAAAATGAGCACCAGATGCTACCTCATACAGCAAGCTCTGGAGCAATAAAACAGGTCGGTTTTGACCTTGGTCTGACCTTTATACCTCACCCTACGTCAATGCAATTTTCAATTGTTCTTTCAATCAATTCAAACAACCTTCCTTTCAGTTGTTGTGTTACCTAAGAAAGTATCTCAGAGATGTATGGCTTCTTCTAATGCTGATGTATCAGACTGAACGAATCCCTAGAATTAACTTCGCTGAATCCGTGGCCTGTCTTTGGTCTACCGTAGATCGGCGACCTAACAGGTTACATTTGAATTTTTGATGCCGAACGATCTGCTATTCAGTTATCTACAACTGTGCAAGCTTTGGCACGGCTACGCCGCGACGATCGGAAACCATTCTGGAAAACCTTCGACTGACGCCCACCCGAGCGTGTGGTAATTTTATTTGATGTATGATCTGACTTTGAAAATAAAGTTCAGAGATGGTGCATGAGCACCGGTTTGAGTCAGCCTATATATGTGTCGGTACCGAATGTTCTTAAGCGTCCGTTTGTGCGGGTGGATATTTTTGCAAGAACCACGATACAAAGGATGTAAGCAAGATAACTCTTGCACGTCGTCAGTCAACATTAACCAAAAGGCAGCTCTTGCAAAAACTCCCCTCGGCACTTGGCATGTTCAATGAAAATGTCATTTTAGAATCACTGCTGATGGGTAGGTCAGCTCTGACCGTACGACAGTAGTCAAATCGTGCGACAGTGTGCCGCTCTAAGAAAGGGAGGTGTGGGGATTGGGACATTACTGTGGATGCGCAATGCCATGTGTTTCATGCACCCTTTTGTGTTGCAAAAAACATTAATGTGTAAAGGTGCGCAAATGAGAAAAAGCTATTCGACCATTCTTGCGGGTTTATACGGCCTTTAACACGTTAAAATATTTCAGTGATTTATAGCTCCGCCTGTGACGACACCATTTACACCACTTATTTCGGCTAGTTTGAAATTGAACTTAAGTTTTTAGTAAGTTGCTTAGCTTAGCTTGGTTTTCTTAGGCAACTGTTCATGGTACTACGCAATTATCCCCAGGCGATCGTAACTGGAGGGTAGAAAGACCCCAGGTGCTGATGACATTTTGATTAGCAATGATGCAAAAACAACGGGCCCAATCACTCAGGAGCAATAACTCTGAAGCTGGTGTCCGTACCAGTCCGGCCAACCAATGCCCGAACATTCGCTGAAAGCCACTCCGTTACAATGAAGAAGACCATGAAGCGTTCAGAAATTAAACAAAGTCAATACATGCACATGTGACGTGGAGCGGGACAACTCAGTAATGTTTGCCAAATATGTACATACATAGACAAAATATGAGAGTTCCAACTTCAAGACTTTGAACTCAGACTGACCTCGCTTAGCGCAGTGACCTGCTTGAAGCTTGAAAATTTATCAGAGTACAAAAGTATGTAGAAAAAATGCACTACAAGTTTCGCGTCGTATTTCCGCCGTTTTTACTACGCTCCGAAAACAAAAAGGGGAGGGATTTTCGTCCCCCGACCGAACCAGGCCCAGAACCCGACTTCATTTGAGATCGAAACTTATCACATCTAAACTGTTGAAAAGGTGATTGTTCCAAGGCATAATGATACTGGGTTAGAATATATCTAAAAGGGCAAACTTCATCAAACTCGTCCCCCAAATTGCCTTTCAAAATTTTCATTACTGGAATACAGAAATGGGCAACGAAAATATTACATGCTGACGCAGTCATGTAAAGCACCTGTGCTTTAAATGTTTCAAGCTACGAAATGAACGGTAAAGGTACGCAGAATTACAGGGGCGTACCTATTTGCGCACTAAAGCTGCGACAAAAACATGACGTTAGAAGTGGTGCTGACACACGATGATAATTTACGGAGAGCGTAAGAAAATAGCACCTGTAGCTGGCAAACTAAGGGTATAGTGTAGCAGCACGTGCACTGCAATTCAAAATCAGTTTTCACTTTCCCTTTAACCCTCGCCCGGGCGACCAGCTGGATACCCTTCGCTCGGGTGCGAGGGTCAATTCCCCTTCCCCCCCCCCTAAGACATCAAAAACTAAGAGAGGTCGAAACACTAAATTCACAGGGTGCTTTTGCCTGTACGGGAACTCACTTAGGGAAAAGTTTGAGGTTCCTAGGTAGTGACCTTTGGGTCAAACAACGTCAAAAAGGTCACACTCCAGGCTGGTTTCCAAAGTGCACCAGAATGTAGATAACTGTTCTAAGCAAAAGGCCACACCTCATTTAAGGTCAGTGACTTTGTCTGACCTTTCAGAGGTTATGGTGACCATAATCATACAAGACTGCGTCGAGTTTTGGATTTGTATAAGCGACAAAGAATACACCGGGTAGCATGTTCCAAAAAATTGTTGACCCGGGTAATTTTACGTCAGTGACCTATTCTGACCTTGAAGACGTCCATGGAAGATATATAATTCGGTTCCTGCTACCGATAAATTCGAAATGAGCACCAAAAGTACCCCATACAACAAGCCCTAGAGTAATAGAACAGGCTGGTTTTGACTTTGCTCTGACCTGTATATCTGACCCTAGGTTAATGGATTTGTTCATTGAAATGTTGTGTTGCCCTCGAAAGTATTTCAGAGGTGTATGGAATCGGCTAAAACTCCGTTGTTGCATCAGATTGAACGATTCCTTGAATCCATGGCCTGATTTTGACCTGCCGTAGGTCAGCGACCTTACAAATTACGTCTTAATTTGTGATACCAAACGATCCGCTATTCAATTTTTACAGCTATGCACAATTTGGCGCGGCTACACCGCGCCGTTCGGAAACCATTCCGGAAAAACTCTCGGGGTCAACTTGATCCCCCATCCGAGCGCGTGCTTAGAAATGTTTTATATCCATGGGCTGCAGGCACGTGATGGTCCAATGAACTCCTAATTCGGCTTGAGTTCCATGCACGGAAATAATTCAATGCGCTGGGCCAGTATAGGTGGAATATAGACCAATGGTCTTTTGGAATCAGCAATATCGTGCTACTATTCGTTGGAATTAGAAACGTTAGGGACGTTTTGGCTGCTCAATAACTGACATATTTAAAACAGCATGAAGGTTATGTTTTACTTTTAGATTAAGTTCAATAGTCCGGCGTTCTAGGCATTCAGTTCCTCAGAATGAGACGTTTCCTAACAAAAGCGAGCCGGTAACACCATATCCCAT